CCCTGCTTCTCTCACACAGCTCTCCTGCCTTCATGAGCTGAACCTCAGCTTCACTGCCATACGCTCCCTGCCATGCCACTTTGGACAGCTGAGCCGGCTCAAGAAACTTAACCTGGATGGTTGCAAGGAGTTGGCTGCCCTGCCGGAGGATTTCACCCAGCTCAAGGTGCTGCACAGCTTGTCTGTTAAAGGGTGTGGCAAGATTGTACCTAAAGGTGTGAGAGATATGTATGGGTTGCAGGTTCATACTGATTGTGATTGAGATCCTTGATTAGGTTTGTCTTTTTGAACTATCAAATGGTATGATGCACTTTCTGATATGCGCATCCAACGTCTACATTTTCAATTCCTGCGTTTTTGTGTGGAGAATAAAGATGTAAAAATATTGTCCGAGAAAAACAATGTCGGTGCTGGGATTCGAGCCCAGGTCTCCACGGCCACAACGTGGGATTCTAACCACTAAACTACACCGACCTGTTTCATTATATTTTTTGTTTTTAATTAATTATTTACTACCGTTGGGCTCTCGACGTTCACATTGGCACCAAAACGCCTGGTCAACAATTTCAGGGGTCGCTCCAAATTCAAACACATACCGTTTTGAACCGTATTTTAACTTACTGGTATTGTTTACAACCTCTCAGTGTACCGTGAATCTGACTTAAAATCTTCCCCCGCTATGGCGATCTGGGCTGCGTTCTGCGGCCGCATTAGCCCGCATCAATGTACATTGCACATTTTTTTCGATGTTCCAGGAGCCTTTCTTGATAACCAGCTGAAAGGTTATCAAGGCTCGCGATAAGCGCTTGGCTGCCGAGGCAAACCAAGCCCGAATGCCTGCAGAACGGTCTTTTTGGCAACCACGAATTTTCATGTTGCAGCTTTCCGAGAAATTTATCGTCCTAGCAATCTGACGCATCTCTGATGCGCGCATGATGCAACGCAGGGAACGCGCATGATGCGCGCATCAAATCGAAATGGGCAATTGAAATTCGAAATTAGGGGTGTGGAGAAGGCGTCAGGTACGTGCTTCCCTGCTTCAAAGAACCTTCAGCACCCTGGAATACCTCGGAAATTTGAGATCGAAAATTGACATGCCCGAAATTCGAAATCTCCATTTTCCGATTTCCCGAACCTCAATCTCCATTTTCCGAACCTCTATTTTTCAATTTCAAATTCCTCATTCCCGAACCTCAATTTGTCAATGTGCGGATCAGGCCGAGCCTAGGGCGCATCAGAGCTGATGCGCCCGCAGAACGCGGCCCTGGTGTCGAAGTTCTGACAGAATTCGTCACCACCTGATCGCAGCAGAACATCAGTCTCCTGCTGGATGAACTCGGCAACGAGAGGCGAGGAATGCAGCACTTATTCCTCAGTATTCGTTAAGCGAAGCTTTTGCTAAGCGAAGTCTTCGTTAAGTTCTTGTTCCATTACGACGACAAGCTCTTGCGGATCCAGTCGGCAGTCCCAGTAGACAAAGGAATTTAATCTCCTTGGATCGCGTCGCGCCATGATGTCTGCGTGTACTACTCAAGTGTCCTCCATCTCCCTCGCCCGCTCCGCTAACTGGTCCAGTAACCGTAGCGAATCTTCGCGAACCGTCGCGGGCGGCCTGTCCAGCAGGGTCGCGGTAAGTCAGTTAGAATTCGACACCATTAGGTCAACGAGCAGTCCATACGTTGACTTTTCTTCTAGACGCTTTATCAACCGTCTCTCATAGTTACTGGAATTCACCTCGTTAATCAGCAGTCAAGCAGTTGTTTCATGCTCAGCAGCGCGCCAAGGGTTTCCCCCCTCATCAGCAAGCCACCCTCAGTTGACTCTCCTTCTAGGCGCATTAACAACCGTCTCTCGTAGTTACTGGAATCCACCTCGTTAATCAGCAGTCAAGCAGTTGTTTCATGCTCAGCAGCGCGCCGAGCATTTTCCCTCATCAGCAAGCCAACCTTACTCCCCTTCACCTCTCAAGCCGTTTCCTCTTCAGCGTTTCAAGCTTCAAAGAATCGACTCGACCGTTCTTCCCCGTGTCCTGTTCCGCTCCCTCCTGTTCCGCTCCCTCCTGTTCCGCTCACTCCTCCCCATTGCGAAGGACGTTCGGAGGGCTGGATCGAGGGATGGCAGGGCCAGGCCGGCAAGGCCGGTTCGGTGCGTGTCCGAGCCTAGAGTGGAGGTTCGGTCCGCCGAGGACGTGCTTGCATCTCAGCCGTCGTTTCTTCGCCACATCGCCGACCATGTGAGTGCAGCCCTGGGAGCTGTCACAGTGAACCCATCATCCCTCTCCCTCTCCCTCTCCCTCTCCCACTCCCACTCCCACTCCCACTCCCACTCCCACTCCCACTCCCACTCCCACTCCCACTCCCTCTCTCTCTCCCACTCCCACTCCCACTCCCTCTCCCTCTCCCACTCCCACTCCCACTCCCACTCCCACTCCCACTCCCACTCCCTCTCCCTCTCCCACTCCCACTCCCTCTCCCTCTCCCACTCCCACTTCCACTCCCTCTCCCACTCCCACTCCCACTCTCACCCCCACTCCCACTCCCACTCACACTCCCTCTCCCTCTCCCACTCCCACCTCCATTGCCTAAACCCCAAACCCTGAACCCAGCAGCGTCCCTCCCCTCGTCTGCTTTCAACAGCGAGTCAGTGAGACTGTGCAAGACAATATCGGCCTGTACTGCAACCAGTCATGCCAACCCTCCTCCTGTCTCTTTCCCTTTCTTCTCCCCTCCCTTCCACTCCCCTCCGCCCCACTCCTCCCCATTCAGGGCACCCCACTGTCGTTCATGTATGTTGCGATGCGACATATGAGACGCCTCAACGTTCGTTCATGGGCACCCACTTGCACCTTCTTTCCCCTTCTCTCCCTTTTTTTCCCTCCTCTCCTACTCTCCTCTCCGCTCTGCTCCCCTCCACCCCGTCACCTCTTTCCCCTTAAGTCCCTCCGACACACACACCCTCCTCCCATTCACCCGCAGTGTCATCGACACAATACAACCCCCTCTCTCTTCCCCCCACCACTAGGGCACCCCCTTGCCCTTCACCCGCCAAGTCATGAAACTGTTCAGGTCAACATCGGCCTCTACTGTAACCAGGCGTGCCCACCCCCTCACGTTTCTCCCTCTCTTTCCTCCCTTTTCCCCATCCAGGGCACGCCCCTGCCATTCACCCGGCGAGTCATTGAAACCGTCCAGGTCAACATAGGCCTCTACTGCAACCAGGCGTGCTCACCCCCTTCCTGTCTCTTCCCCTTTCTTCTCCCCTCCCTTCCACTCCTCGTCCATCCCCTCGTCCCTCAGGGCACGCCCCTCCCCTTCACTCGTCGCGTCATTGAGACTGTCCAGGTCAACATAGGCCTGTACTGCAACCAGGCGTGCCAGCACTGCCACGTGGACTCCTCGCCTCTACGGACCGAGATGATGAATCATAGAACGGCAGAGCGGGTGGTAAGAACACCCATCCCTACCAGCACTGAAACCCTACGCTTGAAACCCTAAACCCCTTGCCCCAGCTAGCCTGTACTGCAACCAAGCGTGCCAGCACTGCCTCGTGGACTCCTCCCCTCTGAGGACCGAGATGATGGATCATAGAACGGCAGAGAGGGTGGTGAGTGACCTTTCTCTATCCCTAACACCTGCAAGCCCCATACCTTGAGCTGAAAGCTTGATTAGGTCAACATAGGGCTGTACTGCAACCAGGTGTGCCAGCACTGCCACGTGGACTCCTCCCCCCTCAGAACGGAGATGATGGACCACAGAACGGCAGAGAGGGTGGTGAGTGTGCAACACCCAACCCCAACCCAACCAGCAGTGAAACCTTAAGCCTCAAACCCTAAACCCCCAGCGTGAGGCCTGTACTGCAACCAACCAGGCGTGCCAGCACTGCCACGTGGACTCCTTTCCACTGCGAACAGAGATGATGGACCACACAACGGCAGAGAGGGTGGTGAGTGAGTGACCTCCCTATCCCAACCAGCAGTGAAACCTTAAGTCTCAAACCCTAACCCCCAGCTTGAAGCCTGTACTGCAACCAGGCGTGCCAGCACTGCCATACTCCTCCCCGCCGAGAACCGAGATGATGGACCATAGAACAGCGGAGAGAGTGGTGCGTGTGTGAATGGCCTGCATTGCAAACCACAAACCCTAAACCCCAAGTTTGAAGCCTGCATTGCAACCAGGCGTGCCAACACTGCCACGTGGCGTGGACTCCTCCCCACTCATAACCGAGATGATGGATCATAGAACAGCTGAGAGAGTGGTGAGTGCACCCAACCCAACCAGCATTGAAACCCTACGCCCGAAACCGTAAACCCTAGCCCCAGCTAGCCTCTACTGCAACCAAGCGTGCCAGCACTGCCACGTGGACTCCTCCCCTCGAGAACCGAGATGATAAATTATCAAACGGTGGAGAGAGTGGTGGGATCTTAACCTTTGCCCTCCCTACACATGCTACGTTCCGACCCACTGATAAGTAACATGTTGAGACGTTTCATAATGTTAACCTTTGCCCTCCCTAGACTCGCTACATTGCAACCCACTGCCCGATTGGCCCTGAGGGCTGTTTTTTGAACGAGCTGTTCGAGAAACCGCATGGGTTCGGAACGGTCAATTTAGGTTCTAAAACGTTTATGAATGGCGCAGTGCGGTAGTCTTGAACGTTGTGGTCTTGAACAGCGTTTTGAACAACAATGTTCTGCGCCCTGAAGCCCTAAGCTTCAAACCCAGTTTCTCAAGTTGAAGCCTCAAACCCTGAACCTGAAATCCTAAACCCTAGCACCACTTCCTTCCCCTCTCCACTCCTGCCCCCTTTCCGCTCCCCCCTCCCTCCCCCATTTTTCGATCCAATCCCCTTGCAGGTGGAGCTGGTATCAGCCTGCCCAAGTGTGCCGTGTATGGAAACTTCCTGCAGGCAGGCCTTTCAGGAAACATGTCCCAACCCAACCCCCCTCTCCCTGTTTCTTTCCCCTTCTGCTCTTTTTTCCTCCTCCATCCTTCGAGTTGCAGGTGGAGCTGGTGTCGGCCTGCCCAAGTGTGCGCTTTGTTGACCTCACAGGGGGAGCACCTGAGCTTAACCCTGAGTTCAGGTGAGAACAGCAGAGGTGCTCGGTTTAGGTGAATCCAACAGAGCGTTCAGACAACCAACAACTGGTCAGGTTTGGTTTATTCCAGTAGAGCAATTGGAGTGACCATTCAAGTAACCCGTTTCTGTGTGTTTTCAGGTGGCTTGATTCTAGAAGGTGTTTCAGGCGTTCAGGCGACTCCCATCTCATTAGTGGGGCAAATAGAACGGGCAAGGAGGCAATTGACCGCTTGCAAATTCAGTCATACTATCTCGCCACCACTGCCAACCTATCAGTCGGTTCCACCATATCTCACCGCACTGGACCGCCGGGTATCTTATCACAGAGGCACATTGAATGGGCAAGGAGGTGATTGGCCGCTGGAATCTCACCCACACGCCAGTGATGCCACTGCCACCATTCTATCCCTCTCCATCATATTGCACCGCACTGTACCTCCAAGTATCTGGTCACGGAGGCCTGCGGAATAGGCAAGGAGGTGATTAACCACTGCAACTTTATTAGCCGCATGTCACTAATGTCATCCCTCTCCAACATATTGCACCGCACTGAACCACCAGGTACCTGGTGACAGAGGCCCACAGAATGGGCAAGGAGGTGATTGACCGCTGCAATCTCACCCACACGCCACTAATGCCACTACCACTATCACCCCTTTCCACCGCATCTCACCATACTTTATTGCCAGGTACCTGGTGACAGAGGCGCGCAGAATGGGCAAGGAGGTGATTGACCGCTGCAATCTCACTGTGCTGTTTGAACCAGGACAAGAGGTGAGGAGAGGTGGGGAGAGGATAGGATAGAGGATGAGGCTGGGAGTAAGGTGCTGAGAGTGGGGAGGTGGGGAAAGTGAATGGGAAAGGAGGTGATTGACCGCTGCAACCTCACCGTGCTGTTTGAGCCGGGGCAGGAGGTGAGGAGGGGGTTAAGATGGGGTTTGGGACGGAAGTGAGGAGGGAAGATGGGGTCTGGGATATGAGTGAATTCGTGCAAGGAGGTGATCTACCGCTGCAACCTCACTGTGCTGTTCGAGCCAGCGCAGGAGGTGAGGAGGGGTGGGGAGGGGATGAGGGTGAGAGGAAGGTGCTGAGAATGGAGTGGTGGCGAGACGTGAATGCATGCAAGGAGGTGATTGACCGCCGCAACCTCACCGTGCTGTTTGAGCCAGGGCAAGAGGTGAGCAGGGGAGGTGAGGGCAGGAGATGAGGGGAGATGGGAGCAATGTGCAGAGAGACGTGAATCGATTTTTGAGTCGACTCAAAAATCGACTCATCACAGGCGATGAGGATGTGCAGAGAGACGTGAATGCATGCAAGGAGGTAATTGACCGCTGCAACCTCACCACGCTGTTCGAGCATGGGCAAGAGGTGAGGAGAGGGGAGGAGAGATGGGAGGAGGTGAAGAAAGATGGGAGGAGGTGATTTGATATGTGCTCATGTGTGTGTCCCGTGTGCATGCATGCGTCCATGCATGCGTCCATGCATGCGCGTGGATGGTGGGCCATGTGTGCCTGTGCAAGCATGTGTGCCTGTGCAAGCATGTGTGCCTGTGCAAGCATGTGTGCCGGACTAAGCAGAGTTTCTTGCAGCCATTCAGGTGCACGTGGTGGCGTTTGAGAATGGGCAAGGAGGTGATTGACCGCTTCAACCTCACTGTGCTGTTCGAGCCATTCAGGTGCACGTGGTGGCGATTGAGGCTCACATGCATGTGAGCCAGACTTGACGGAGTTCGTGCATGTGGTGTCATCCCTCCCATGTCTCAAGTCCACTGGAGATCTGCCTCCCTGTGTGCATGCATGCATGTGTGTGGGTGTGTTTCCTATGTGTGCATGCATGTGTGTGTGTGTCTTTTCTGTCTGTGCATGCATGCATATGTGTGTGTGTGTGTGTCTTTCCTCTGTGTGCATGCATGCATGCATATGTGTGTGTGTGTGTGTGTGTGTGTGTGTGTGTGTGTGTGTGTGTGTGTGTGTGTGTGTGTGTGTGTGTGTGTGTGTGTGTGTGTGTGTGTGTGTGTGTGTGTGTGTGTGTGTGTGCGCGCGCGTGTGCGTGCGCGTGGGCGTGTGCGTGTGCGTGCGCGTGCGCGTGCGCGTGCGCGTGCGTGCGTGCGTGCGTGCGTGCGTGTGTGTGTGTGCGTGCGCGTGCGCGTGCGCGTGCGTGCGCGCGTGTGTGTGTGTGTGTGTGTGTGTGTGTGTGTGTGTGTGTGTGTGTGTGTGTGTGTGTGTGTGTGTGTGTGTGTGTGTGTGTGTGTGTGTGTGTGTGTGTGTGTGTGTGTGTGTCTTTCCCTTGTGTGGGTCTGTCTGAGCAGGACTTGGCAGAATTCCTGGCAGCCAATCAGGTGCATGTGGTGGCATCGCTCCCGTGCTACTCAGCGGATAATGTCAACAAGCAGGTGAGACAGAACAAGGCATCTACCCATCAGGTAAGCAGGTGAGACAACAAGGCATCTACCCATCAGGTAAGCAGGTGAGACAACAAGGCATCTACCCATCAGGTAAGCAGGTGAGGCAACAAGGCATCTACCCATCAGGTAAGCAGGTGAGGCAACAAGGCATCTACCCATCAGGTAAGCAGGTGAGGCAACAAGGCATCTACCCATCAGGTAAGCAGGTGAGGCAACAAGGCATCTACCCATCAGGTAAGCAGGTGAGGCAACAAGGCATTTACCCATCAGGTAAGCAGGTGAGGCAACAAGGCATCTACCCATCAGGTAAGCAGGTGAGGCAACAAGGCATCTACCCATCAGGTAAGCAGGTGAGGCAACAAGGCATCTACCCATCAGGTAAGCAGGTGAGGCAACAAGGCATCTACCCATCAGGTAAGCAGGTGAGGCAACAAGGCATCTACCCATCAGGTAAGCAGGTGAGGCAACAAGGCATTTACCCATCAGGTAAGCAGGTGAGGCAACAAGGCATCTACCCATCAGGTAAGCAGGTGAGGCAACAAGGCATTTACCCATCAGGTAAGCAGGTGAGGCAACAAGGCATCTACCCATCAGGTAAGCAGGTGAGGCAACAAGGCATCTACCCATCAGGTAAGCAGGTGAGGCAACAAGGCATCTACCCATCAGGAAAGCAGGTGAGGCAACAAGGCATCTACCCATCAGGTAAGCAGGTGAGGCAACAAGGCATCTACCCATCAGGTAAGCAGGTGAGGCAACAAGGCATCTACCCATCAGGTAAGCAGGTGAGGCAACAAGGCATCTACCCATCAGGTAAGCAGGTGAGGCAACAAGGCATCTACCCATCAGGTAAGCAGGTGAGGCAACAAGGCATCTACCCATCAGGTAAGCAGGTGAGGCAACAAGGCATCTACCCATCAGGTAAGCAGGTGAGGCAACAAGGCATCTACCCATCAGGTAAGCAGGTGAGGCAACAAGGCATCTACCCATCAGGTAAGCAGGTGAGGCAACAAGGCATCTACCCATCAGGTAAGCAGGTGAGGCAACAAGGCATCTACCCATCAGGTAAGCAGGTGAGGCAACAAGGCATCTACCCATAGGTAAGCAGGTGAGGCAACAAGGCATCTACCCATCAGGTAAGCAGGTGAGGCAACAAGGCATCTACCCATCAGGTAAGCAGGTGAGGCAACAAGGCATCTACCCATCAGGTAAGCAGGTGAGGCAACAAGGCATCTACCCATCAGGTAAGCAGGTGAGGCAACAAGGCATCTACCCATCAGGTAAGCAGGTGAGGCAACAAGGCATCTACCCATCAGGTAAGCAGGTGAGGCAACAAGGCATCTACCCATCAGGTAAGCAGGTGAGGCAACAAGGCATCTACGCATCAGGTAAGCAGGTGAGGCAACAAGGCGAGCCCATGCCCCTTTCCCGTGTCCCTTTCCCACGTGCCCCCGAGTGTGCCTGTGTGTGTGCGCATCAGATTTGGGGGGGGGAGTGTTCGACCTCAGCATCAAGTATCATGCATCAAGACGCTTCACCCATGCATATTCCCTCCTTCCTCCCACACCTGTACCTCCCCCGCTTGCTCATATCCCCCGAATGCAATGCGTGTCTGTGCGCATCAGAGGGGAGGGGGAGTGTTTGATCTCAGCATCAAGGCGCTTCAGCTGCTAAACAGCCTGGGGTAGGTGCAATGGAATGCAGTGCGGTGCAGTAGGGTACACTGCAGTCTGTGGGCATCAGAGGGGAGGGAGAGTGTTTGATCTCAGCATCAAGGCGCTTCAGCTGCTCAACAGCCTGGGGTAGGTGCGGCTGAATGCAATGGTGCGGTGGAGTGTGGTGCTGTGCGGTGCACTGGGGTGCATCTGTGTGGATTAAGGTTATGTGAGTGCTGGCGATTTGGCTTTACGGGCTCGGCATCGAACTGGTTCAGCCACTAAACAGCCTGGTGTAGGTGCAGTGCGGTACAATGCGATTGAGTGCGAGCCCTTTGGGATGGAGTGCGGCTGTGTGTTTGCTAGCTGAAAGTCGTTCGCCCTTCTTGTCCGACACATCACTTGCTCAAGAGCTAGCGATGAGTGCGCTTCAATGAGATGCAGTGCGGTTGGATGCGATAAGCAGCAACGACAATGTGTGCTTATGCTCAACAGCACAGGGCGAGTGCAGTGGAATGTGGTGTAATGCGATGGGATGCAATGCTGCTGGGTGCAAATGGGATGTGCAGTGAGGTCAGGGAATTGCACAAAGGCTTTCACACCTCCTATGGAATTTCTGTCTAGATCCTATGACTTTTAGCCGCCTTAAAAGTCAGCTCCTTCTATATAGGTTCTGTCTAGATCCTAATTTCCCCTGCTCCAACCCTTATTCCTCCCTTACCCTCCTCTGTTCCCGAACCTGTGTTCCAGGTATGGCAAGGAAGGCTCGGGGCTGGTGCTGGATCTGGTTTACAACCCGGTTGGCCCATTCCTCCCGCCTGCTCAAGGCAAACTGGAGGAAGCGTACAAGGTGAGATGGGATGCGGTGATATGGGGTGGGATGGGATGGGATGGGATGGGGATGGGATGGGATGGGATGGGATGGGATGGGATGGGATGGGATGGGATGGGATGGGATGGGATGGGGATGGGGTGGGATGGGATGGGATGGGGATGGGGTGGGATGGGATGGGGATGGGGTGGGATGGGATGGGATGGGATGGGATGGGATGGGATGGGATGAGATGGGATGGCATGGGATGGCATGGGATGGGATGGGATGGGATGGGATGGGATGGGATGGGATGGGATGGGATGGGATGGGATGGGATGGGATGGGATGGGATGGGATGGGATGGGATGGGATGGGATGGGATGGGATGGGATGGGATGGGATGGGATGGGATGGGATGGGATGGGATGGGATGGGATGGGATGGGATGGGATGGGATGGGATGGGATGGGATGGGATGGGATGGGATGGGATGGGATGGGATGGGGTGGGATGGGATGGGATGGGATGGGATGGGATGGGATGGGATGAGATGGGATGGCATGGGATGGGATGGGATGGGATGGGATGGGATGGGATGGGATGGGATGGGATGGGATGGGATGGGATGGGATGGGATGGGATGGGATGGGATGGGATGGGATGGGATGGGATGGGATGGGATGGGATGGGATGGGAAAGGACAGAAAGGGACGGTAATTTGTTGTGTTGGGAATGCTATGATCGTTCAACCAACAGTCTCCCATGCTCCATTTTCCTCCATACCGCCGCTTATCCCTTCATACTCCTCCATGCCCCTCCTCACCATACATACCTCTCAGAGTGAGCTGACGCCATGCTATGGCATATCAGCCAAGTATCTCGTTCTCCATAACATTACTTCATTCCCTTCCAAACCCCTCCAAACCCCTCGAAACCTCTCCATGCCCCGTCTTGTCCATCCATACCCCTTTGAACTCCCACACCCTTCTCAGAGCGAGCTGATGTCGTGCTATGGCATATCATATTAACCAACAATCTCCTTCCCCACGAGATTCATTTCCATACCTACCTTACTCTCGCATACCCCTCCATACCCTTTATAACCCTACCACACGCTTCCAGAGCGAGCTGATATCGTGCTATGGCATATCCTCCAATCCCCTCCGTACCCTCCCATACCCCTCCATAACTCTCCACACCCCTCAATACCACTCCATCTGTACCTCCCAGAGCGAGCTCATGTCATGCTGTGGCATATATCATTCAGCCAACGGTCTTTTTCTCTAATCCCCCAATAACCCTCCGTACCCTTTATAACCCCACCACACCTTTTTCAGAGCGAGCTGATATCATGCAATGGCATATCCTCAAAACTCCTCCGTGCCCTTCCATACCCCTCCATAACCCTCCACACCCCTCAATACCACTCCATGCGTACCTCCCAGAGCGAGGTCATCTCATGCTATGGCATATCATTTTAACCAACAATCTCCCACATACACCACCACACCCGTCTCAGAACGAGCTGATGTCATGCTATGGCATATCGTTCAACCAACAGTCTCCTTTACCACCAATACACTCACATACTCCCACATTCCCCTTCATACCCTTTATAACCCCACCACATCCTTCCCAGAGCGAGCTCATGTCATGCTACGGCATATCATTCAACAGCCTCTTCACCATCACCAACATGCCTGTTAAGAGGTGAACAGGGGCGAGCAGGGGTGAACAGGGGTGAAGAGAGGTGGACAGGGATGAGTAACGCTTAGCAGAGGTTAACGGGGGTGAAGGTGAGCAATGCTTAGCAGAGAATTACATTCAGCAGCCTCTTCACCATCACCAACATGCCTGTCAAGAGGTGAGTGGTGGTGAGTGGTTGACAGAGGTGAGCATAGGTGGACACAGGTGAACGGAGGGGTAGGTGGATAGATCATGTTTCCCAGCAGCCTCTTCACCATCACCAACATGCCTGTACAGAGCTGCGTGGTGAGTGGTGCGTGGTGCACAGGAGTGAACGGTGGTACAGAGCGGCGTGATGGGTGGTGGTGAGCATAGCATGTCGTTCAGCAGCCTGTTCACCATCACTAACATGCCTGTTAAGAGGTGAGCGGTTTTAAGGGGTGAACAGTCATTGAAAATGGGCGAAGAGAGGCGGACAGGGGTGAGTAACGGTTAGGAGAGGTTAAGGGGGGTGAAGGTGGGTGTGTTGGGTGGTGAGCAGAGAATATCATTCAACGCCTCTTCACCATCACTAACATGCCTGTCAAGAGGTAAGTGCTGAGCGCATGTTGGGTGGTGCGTGGTGAGCAGGGGTGAACAGAGGTACAGAGAGGTGTGGTGGGTGGTGAACGGAGCATATCACTCAGCAGCCTCTTCACTATCACCAACATGCCTGTCAAGAGGTGAGTGGTGGTGGTGGTGGTGGGTGGTGAACAGGAATGAACAGGGCTGGGTTGGGTTGGGTGGTGAGCATAGCAGATCATTCAACAGCCTCTTCACCATCACCAGCATGCCTGTCAAGAGGTGGGTGGTGAGCAGGGTGAACAGGGGTGAAGAGTGGTGGACAGCATCTTCACCATCACCAGCATGCCTGTCAAGAGGTGAGCTGTGAACAGGGGTGAATAGAGGTAGAGAGAGGTGTCTTGGATGGTGAGCATAGCACGTCGTTCAGCAGTCTGTTCACCATCACCATCATGCCTGTCAAGAGAGTGGTGCAGAGAGGTGAAGGGAGATGAACAGGTGTGAGCAGGATTGAACGGAGATTAATGAATGTCTAGCGAGGTGTGTCAAATTGTGACCGCCAGAGTGTGTTTTTTTAGAGTTCTAAAAAAAGTGGTGTGCTGGGTTGTGATCATCAGAGCATACCATTTGACATCCTCTTCACCATCACTAACATGCCTGTCAAGAGGTATTTGGTGGTGAGAGGTAAGAAGAGGTGAGTAAAGGTGAACCGAGTTGAACAGGGGTGAGCAGAGGTGTGTGCGCAAACGTGTGCAGAGGTTTGCAGAGGTGTGCAGAGGTGTGCGGAGGTGTGCAGCGGTGAGCAGTGAGCTGAGGCGAACAGCCTGGTCGCACTAAGCCTCAAAACCACCATCACCAACATGCCAGTTGCTGAGCATGCCTGGTCGCACTAAGCCTCAAAACCACCATCACCAACATGCCACTTGCTGAGCATGCCTGGTCGCACTAAGCCTCAAAACCACCATCGCCAGCATGCCAGTTGCTGAGCATGCCTGGTCGCACTAAGCCTCAAAACCATCATCACCAACATGCCTCACAAAAGAGGGCTTGCTTTGCTGGGTTGATGATGCAATGCATGCCCAGCTGCTGGTTTCATTTCATGCACTCTTTTCGCGCGCATGTGCTGCTATCTGTCCCTTTGAATTTATTGTCGGTGCATCCTTTTTAAGTCGCCATCATCAACATGCGTGTCAAGAACGGGGTTGGGTTGGGCTTGCAGGTTGGGTTGGTCTTGCAGAGCATGAAGCATGCCCAACCTGCCTTGAGCATGGTTGGCCATGCAGAGCCGCTGGTTTCATGTCGTGCACTTTCGTGTGCATTCATATTTGAGGTGACTTTTGAGTCATTTTGTGTATGTGTTTCGCTGTCCATGCGTGCTTGTTGGTACATCCTGTCACAGATTCGCATCGTTTCTACATAGGCAGGGCCAACTCGAGGACTACATGCAGCTGCTGGTAAGCCTTGTAGTGGAGATGCTTATATGGAGTACAATTGTGTTTGAATCGTTTCTGCATAGGCAGGGCCAACTTGAGGAGTACTTGCAGCTGCTGGTAAGCTTTGTATGGGAAGCTGCTTATATGGAGTACAGTTGTGTTTCCATTGCTTTTCCATAGGCCGGGCCAAACTTGTGCTGCTGCTGGTAATTCTTATAGTGGAGATGCTTGTATGGTGTACACGTTATGGCTATATGCTGGTGCCGTCAGTCCAGTGAGGTGACATGTCACCCACGCAAAGCACTGCCTTCAACCCACTGGCAGTGGGCAATGTGTTGAAACCTCATTGGTGATTCAAGCTTCATATGTCACTCCACCCCACGCCACCCCATTCCACCCACACAGATCTCTCCTTTCAAATCACCAGCAGTGGGCAATGTGTTGAAACCTCATTGGTGATTCAAGCTTCATATGTCACTCCACCCCACGCCACCCCATTCCACCCACACAGATCTCTCCTTTCAAATCACCAGCAGTGGGCAATGTGTTGAAACCTCATTGGTGATTCAAGCTTCATATGTCACTCCACCCCACGCCACCCCATTCCACCCACACAGATCTCTCCTTTCAAATCACCAGCAGTGGGCAATGTGTTGAAACCTCATTGGTGATTCAAGCTTCATATGTCACTCCACCCCACGCCACCCCATTCCACCCACACAGATCTCTCCTTTCAAATCACCAGCAGTGGGCAATGTGTTGAAACCTCATTGGTGATTCAAGCTTCATATGTCACTCCACCCCACGCCACCCCATTCCACCCACACAGATCTCTCCTTTCAAATCACCAGCAGTGGGCAATGTGTTGAAACCTCATTGGTGATTCAAGCTTCATATGTCACTCCACCCCACGCCACCCCATTCCACCCACACAGATCTCTCCTTTCAAATCACCAGCAGTGGGCAATGTGTTGAAACCTCATTGGTGATTCAAGCTTCATATGTCACTCCACCCCACGCCACCCCATTCCACCCACACAGATCTCTCCTTTCAAATCACCAGCAGTGGGCAATGTGTTGAAACCTCATTGGTGATTCAAGCTTCATATGTCACTCCACCCCACGCCACCCCATTCCACCCACACAGATCTCTCCTTTCAAATCACCAGCAGTGGGCAATGTGTTGAAACCTCATTGGTGATTCAAGCTTCATATGTCACTCCACCCCACGCCACCCCATTCCACCCACACAGATCTCTCCTTTCAAATCACCAGCAGTGGGCAATGTGTTGAAACCTCATTGGTGATTCAAGCTTCATATGTCACTCCACCCCACGCCACCCCATTCCACCCACACAGATCTCTCCTTTCAAATCACCAGCAGTGGGCAATGTGTTGAAACCTCATTGGTGATTCAAGCTTCATATGTCACTCCACCCCACGCCACCCCATTCCACCCGCACAGATCTCTCCTTTCAAATCACCAGCAGTGGGCAATGTGTTGAAACCTCATTGGTGATTCAAGCTTCATATGTCACTCCACCCCACGCCACCCCATTCCACCCACACAGATCTCTCCTTTCAAATCACCAGCAGTGGGCAATGTGTTGAAACCTCATTGGTGATTCAAGCTTCATATGTCACTCCACCCCACGCCACCCCATTCCACCCACACAGATCTCTCCTTTCAAATCACCAGCAGTGGGCAATGTGTTGAAACCTCATTGGTGATTCAAGCTTCATATGTCACTCCACCCCACGCCACCCCATTCCACCCACACAGATCTCTCCTTTCAAATCACCAGCAGTGGGCAATGTGTTGAAACCTCATTGGTGATTCGGGCGTCATATGTCGCCCCACCCCATTCCACCCCACCCCACCCCATTCGACCCCACCCCACCCACGCAGATCTCTGCGTTCAACCCAGCAGCAGTGGCCAATGTGATGTGCCGAAACCTGATCAGCATTGACTGGTGTGTGTGTAGGAGGGGAGCGAAGGAGGAGGGGGGGAAGGTGGGAAGTGAGGGAAGGGTGTAAAGCAGGCAGGGCGCCCCTCTATTCTTGTTTTGAGTCGACTGTGATTTCAACCAGTAGCTCGCCCTCGGCCTTCCCTCCAAACCACCCACAGCAACTGGCTGCCCGCTCTCCTCTTGTTTCCCTCTCTCCTCACCCTCGTACAGGCAAGGCACTCTCTTCGACTGTGACTTCAACCAGTAGCTCGCCCTTGGCCTTCCTCCCAAGCCATCCGCTGCATCAGACTCTCTTCTCTCCAATCTCCATACTTATTCTGTGTGTCTTTCTCCCTCCACCCACTGCAGGCAAGCTCGGCCTTCCCCCCAACCTCTCCTCTCTCCACACTTCTGTGTCCTCTTCTTCCCCCACCCCGCACACTGCAGGCAAGGCGCTCTCTTCGACTGTGACTTCAACCAACAGCTGGCTCTTGGCCTTCCCCCCAAACCACCCACTGCAACCGACTCTCCTCTCTCTTCTCTCCTTCCTCTCCTCCCATTCCGTATTCCCTCTTACAGGCAAGGTGCTCTCTTCGACTGTGACTTCAACCAACAGCTCAACCTCAACCTTCCTCCCAAACCATCCACTGCACCCAACATTTCCCTCACCTCTCCTCCTCCCCCGCCTCGCACTGTCTTTGACATTCAATCATTGGAGGACCTTGTAGATCGACCCATAGCCACAGCAGCGCACTGCTACGGGTGAGTGGGTAATGTTCCTCTCTCCTCTCCTCACATCTCCTCACGGTTTGCAGCATGCCCCTTTTCTACCTCGCTCTGTTTTGACATCCAATCAATGTCTTTGTCCTTTCACGTCTCGTTACAGGTGCACAGCTGGCAACGGTTCCAGCTGTACGGGTGCGGTGGTGTAGTGGCTGATGGACAAGTTGTTGGAATGCATAATGTTTTTGTCTGCACGTGTCTCCACGTGTTAGGATTGTTCCCTATCTCGTGCTGCAGGCCTAGGAGCGTTGAACCTATTAGATAATCTCCCTAATCTTGTACATACACTAAACGTTTTCCATTCAACGCCAAATTTGGATGCATGTATCTGTAAGGAGTCTGGACCACCACTCTTGTGGGGCACATGCTTGTACAGTTGGAATTCTTTTAGATGGGTGTACATTCCTCGATTAGCGAATTCGGCTGTAAAGGGTGTTGACTGCATGCAATTTTCTCCCAATGCGGTCAACGTCAGCTGCGATACCGCCAGGAGGGTGAAGTTCTTCGCAGACTGGAGAAATTTCTTCGCCAGCCATTCACGCCGTAACTGAGCAGCATGGAGGGCCAGAACAACTCGATAAGACATCCGCGAAACTTTCTTGCGAAAGCCCAGGGCACAGCAAGACTCGGAAGAAACTCGCGAAATGCGTGCGTGGCGTCGCACGGCGAACTTGGCGACTCGGCTTGATTCGAATTCCATGCATTGCTGTCCTGACAACTCATCTCCCACATTCCTCCCCGAGAAAACACATCAGCAGGATTCAGCGCCTCCCTCCCTGGCTCTCTTGCACGGCTATGCCTGACTTCATCCCTCTTCGCGCACGCCCTTCCCCGCTGTCCGCCTTCACGGATTCTCCCCCTTCTGTCGCCTCGACCCTTGCGGTCGCTGGTCCCCGCGTGTATTTAGTTAGTTCCAGACTGTGCCTCCGCAGTTCCAGAGCTTGCTTCTTTTACAGCTCTAGCTAGCCTGTTCCGTCAAAGCACGAATTTCGTCAGCGATCTTCTTCACCCTTGCGCAACTCTTCGTCTTCAATCTGTGAAACTTCCAACGTCCGTATTGTTTTGCGAGTAATTGATTACAGCTTTAGTTAGTTCCCTTTTTTCCATATCATATTTTAGCACACGAAATCTAGTACCGACGACGCCTTTACCAGAGCCGATGGCGGCCGAAAAAACTCCTCCCGCGCTTCTCCGAAACCTCCTCGCGCCTCTCATTCTCTCCTGCCTTCTTCTCCCGCTCGCTCCGGTGCGCGCGTTCGATTTGGACTGCGCAAACGAGGCAAACCAGGCCGTTTCGGTCCTGAGCTTCTGTAACGGCGACGGGTGGCGTCGCACGTGTCTCTACGGCGGCGGATATTCCCCGGACGGCTCGACTAAGTGCGCGCTCGTGCAGGCCGGCGCGCTTTACTGCCAGGATTGCGAGTGGACGATTCACATGCTCTCGCGTTGCTGCGATATAGACCTCTCCGGTTACGAGTATAGCAGCGGCCAACAGGCCGACACGTATTATATCGAGGAGGGAATCAAACAGCTGCAATGCCCGGGCAATTTCGACTGTGGTGAATCTGGTTACCCGCAGTGTAACGGGGGTGGCTTCGACGGCACTACCCCGTACTGGTCTAATGAATATGCCTATGCGGAAAGCTACGGTTACTGCGCCGAGTTCGATAGTAGTAGCGGACCGACGCTGCGCGCGATGGAGCCTCGCGCGCACAGCAGCGGCGGGGTGAAGCTGCGCGAATTAGAGCGCCCGCAGCTGATTGAATCCTCCCGCAACGGCGCACTGGCGGGCGGAAAGACCAAGATGCGCCGCCGCATGTGGGGGAACGGGCGCCCCTGGTCCCCCCACAAGATGTATAGCCGCCGCCTGTGGGGAAGCGGACGCCCCATGTACCGCCGCTTGTATGGCAGCGGGCGTCCGTGGTCCCCCCCAAGATGTACAGCCGCCGCCTTTATGGAGGCGGAAGGCAGTGGTACCCGTAATAAACAGATTTGACAGAGCTTGAAAGTGACGCCAAGGGGAACACGGTATGACATCACCGGATGCGATTTTCTTCAGGGGTTGGTGATTTGGAAAGGCGATCATGTGTTTGTTTAGGATGCATACATGGGCTGGTTGAGAGATTCAGATTGGATAGTCAGTTCAACCATTCCGCTTATGGTATCCGTGTGCCGTAATCATTAACGTAGTAGGAGAGTTTGATTGGTGGTGGTTGTTACCGTAGTTCTGAAGCACTCATCTGATTTGGGTTGGGTGAGTTACTTTACTTTCCTTATTGTTGCTTTTGTATTGCCTATTTAGATTCTGGGGGCGGTTGCAGCTGTACTGGCACGGTGGCGTAGCGGCAAATGGACAAGCGTATCCCACAATGGTTGCTTACAATTTCGTTACATGTTTCTGCCTAATAGTGTCTCCGGGTAATGGGAATGATATTTTCAGTGTTTCCTATTGCTCGCGGACATGGTTGATGTTGAAGGAGATCCCTATGATTGTGTACATACTTTAAACTATGTCTATTCATTACTTGTGCTTATATGTGAGGGCTTGAATTGATGGAAGAAAGTTGCAAATATTTTATATGATTTTTTATTGTACAGTGACGATGTTTTGTGGTTGTAAATAGCATTACCTGTTGTTTTCTCCCAATCAAGTCAACCTCAGCTGCGATTCCGCCAGCAGAGAAGGTTTCTTCGTAAACCTGGGTGACTTCTTCGCCAGCCATTCGCGCCGTAACAGAGCAGCATCAAGGGCCAATCCTATTTGGCTCTAGCCCTGAAAAACTCTGTGTGGTACATGCGAAACAGGCTCGCGAAATGCAATGGCGCTGCAAGACTCGGAAGAAACTCGCGAAATGCGTCGCACGGCGAATATTGTGACTCGGCGCGATTCGAGCTTTGTGTATTGCTGTTCTGACAATGCACATCCCTCGGCGGGATTCAGCGCCGCCATCTGGCTCCCTCGCAGGCTCTGGCCTGGCTTGACTGACTCCATCCATCCCTACACGCCCTTCCCCGCTGTCTCGCTCCGCGGGTTTTCCCTCCCCGCTTCCTCGCCTCAACTCATCTGGTCCCGCGTGTATTTAGGTGCTGTTCTGTTGGAGTTCTCATCGCAGCACCGTTGGCAAATTAGTAAATTTCGTATTAACTTCAAGTGCCTTTTGGTTGACTTGGCAAACCATGAAGGTTCAGTTTTAACCGAGCTAAACTTCTTGTTTGAACAGCTCAGCCAATTTCGTGTCTCCCCAACAGTAAGATGGTCTAACAAAACAATTCCAACCAAATTGGGTGTTGACACGTACAGACAAGAAACTGGCAAAAAATTTTCAGCAGCCCCCGCACCAGTGGTGCGGAGGTGATTTCACCTCGAGAGGTAGTACCAGTGGTGCGGACCATTTGCCTGGCGATGAAATGGCGTGGAACAAACGGGCGGTAATGGTACAGTGTCACAAAAGTGCTGTTGTGCAGGTTTTCTCGGTTTTCTTGATGCGCCCAGCTTCGGACAATGCCCAACCTGAACCGACGCACCACTGGTGCGGATAGAAGAATCCGAGAAGGCCATTTTTGGCCAAAAGAACAGCGCCTTAGTTCGTTCCAGTTTTGTGTGCCTCGGCGATTCCAAATCTTGCTTCGTTCAAAGCTCTCTAGCTAGCCTCAGCCTGATTCCTTCTAGCGCTCTCAAAGCACGAAATTCGTCAGCGATCTTCTTCGCCTCCTTCGCGCAACTCTTCGTCTTTGATCTGTGAAATCTCAACGTCCTTATTGTTTTGCGAGAAATTAGGAAGAACAGCTTTCGTTAGCTCCTTATTCTTCCTTACATTTCAGCACTTGAAAGCTAGTAGTACCGACGACGCCTTACCAGCGGCAATGGCGGCCGAAAAAACTCATCCCCCGTTCCTCCGACAACTCCTCGCGACTCTCCTCCTCTCCTGCCTCCTCCTCGCGCTCGCTCCGGTGCGCGCGTTCGAATTCGACTGCGAGAATGAGGCCCGTGAGACCGTTGCCGTCCTGAGCTTTTGTAAAGGCGACTCGATCGTGTGGCGTCGCACGTGTCTCTACGGCGGCGGTTATTCCACTGACGGCTCGGGACAGTGCACGCTCGTTCAATCCGGCGCGCTTTACTGCCAGGACTGCCAGGGGAACGTGAACAGACTCGAGCGTTGCTGCGATATAGACCTCTCCGATTACGAGTATTACGTCGGCCAACAGGCCAACACGTATAATATTGAATGGGGAATCAGTGTGCTACAGTGCCCAGGGAATTCAGGCTGTGCTGCATCTGGTTACCCGCAGTGTAACGAGGGTGGGTACCAGGGGATTTCTCCGTACTGGACAAATGAGTATGCCTATGTGCAAGGCTACGGCTACTGCCCCGAATCCAGCGGAAATATGCTGCGCGCGCTTGAGCCCCGCGCGCACAGCAGTGGCGGAGTGCAGCTGCGCGAATTAGAGCGCCCGCCGAAGGAATCCGCAGCGCCGCCAGAGGAGATCCGCGCAGAGCCACCGATTGCTTCTTCCGGGGACGGCGCGCAGGCGCGCGGAGTGACCAAGATGCGCCGCCGCATGTGGGGAAGCGGGCGCCCCATGTATAGCCGCAGCCTGTGGGGAAGCGGACGTCCCTGGTCTCCCCCCAAGATGTATAGCCGCCGCCTGTATGGAAACGGGAGGCAGTGGTACCCGTAATAAGCAGATTCGACACCCGCAGATGTAACAGGTGAAGTGCAAGGGACTCCTCGGGGTTTAGGGTTTAGGGTTGGAGCTTCTACAGAGGGGAACACGGTAAGACATCACAGTATGGGATTCTCTTGAGGGGTTAATAAAGTGGAAAGGCAATGCTTTGTTTTAAAGTGCAGATAGCGGTTGGTTGTGATTTTTAGATTGGGAATGGTGAGTTCAACCATTCCGCTTAGCTGTGTGCTGAATTATTACTTCCAGAGGGCCCTATTTCTAGGTAGTGAGAGAGTCTAATAGGTGGTGTTGTTACGGTAGTTTGGAGGCACATGTTTCTGATTGGTTGAGCAGTTTTGGGTCCCTGCCTGGTGGTACCAGCTGAACTTCACTGGATGTAAGTTACTCTAAATTTTACTATCATTGCCTTAGTATCTGCTGCTGTGATATTGCGTTTCTGGATGCATTTGTTTGCTTGAGCTACTAGCTTTCTTCAGAAGGTGGGCCATCAAATCCATCGCCAAGCATGCATGAAATTCAAAATGGATGCTCCAAGCAGATCAAATGAAATTCCCAGTGTTGTGCTATGATCCGCTGGGTCACATGAACCCACCTATGGAACCTCTACAGTACTGCATATACGACTGCTACAGCAGAAGCTCTACTGCGCACGGGGTTTCTATTGTACTATCTCCACTATCTCTTCCATTGTAATAATTCTACAATTCTACTTCCTTTGAAGTGTAATTCTTCTGGGCGTAATACGAGCAAAACATGAGAAGCACACACAGTCACATTGCCACATTGATCACTGCCTCGCCCCACTTCACCCTCCCACACCACTGCTTTTGAAGCATACTGTATTGCAGTCATAGGTGCTGCCATGGGGAGACTTTGAGTGACTCAATAATCACCTTTCCCCCACCAAACATGCTGCATTGCTCCCGTGGGTGCTATTACTGCACCTACAGCATCAGGAGCTCTGGCAGTGACAGCATTACCACCTTTAATGCCAATGCCTCTCCCTCCTCCCATTCCTCCTCCCAACCCTCCCATTCCGCTTGTATGGAGGCGGACGCCCCTGGTCTCCCCCCAAGATGTATAGCCGCCGCCTCTTTGGAAGCGGGAGGCAGTGGTACCCGTAATAAGCAGATTCGACACCTGCACATGTAACAGGTGAAGTGCAAAGGACCAAACGGGGTTCGGGGTTTAGGGTTGGAGCTTCTACAGAGCTTGAAGTTACGCCAAGGGAAACACGCCGGTAAGACATCACAGGATGGGATATTGAGGGGTTAGTGAAGTGGAAAGGCAATGCTCTGTTTTGACTGCAGATAGTGCTTGGTTGGGATTTTCAGATTGGGAATGGTCAGGTCAACCATTCCGCTTAGCTGTGTGCTGAAATAAAAACTTCCAGAGCGCTCTATTTCTAGAGTAATAAAAGAGTTTGATTGGCGGTGGTCGTTACGGTAGTTATGAAGCACGTAGTTGTGATTGGTTAAGCAGTTTTGGGTCTTGCCAGCTGAACTTCACAAAATGTGAGTTACTTTACTTAACTTTAGTTTTGGTTTTAGCGTTGCCTTTGTACCTGCTGCTGTGATATTGCTTTTCTGATTGTATGTGTGTGCTTGAGCCAGCTTTTTCAGAAGGCGAACCCTCAAATCAACGGCCAGGAATGCATGAACATCATATGGATGTTATTGTGCTATGATCTGGTGGTTCACGTGAACCCACCTATGGACCTTTACTGAACTGCATGTGGAACTTCTACAGCAGCAGTTTTGCTGCATACAGGACTTCTATTGTTCTATTAGTTCTATTATCGGACTTAATATGAGCAAAAAGCGAGATGCACACACAGCGACATTGGCACACTGCCACACTGCCACAGAACCACAGAACCTGACCTGCCTCGCTCCACTTCACCTTCCCACACCTTTGCCACGGCACCGCCCTTCAAGCATACAGCATTGCAACCATGGGTGCTGTTGCTGCAATACCAACCACACCTACAGCACCAGGAGCAATGGCAGTGACGGCATTACCACCTTCAGTGCCACTGTCTCTCCCTCCTGTTCTGCCTCCGAACCCTCCCATTCCCCCACCATGCCCTTCAAGCATACAGCATTACACCCATGGGTACTGTTGCTGCATTGCCCACCACACGACAGCATCAGGAGCTATGGCAGTGACAGCATTACCACCTCCTGCAATGCCACTGCCTCTCCCTCCTATTCCTCCTCCGAACCCCCCCCATGCCCTTCAAGCATAGAGCATTACACCCATAAGTGCTGTTGCTGCACCAACAGCATCAGGAGCTATGGCAGTGACAGCATTACCACGTTCAATGCCACTGTCTCTCCCTCCTCCTCCCATTCCTCCTCCAATCCCCCTTCGTATACCCATGCCCTCTACAGCATCAGGAGCTATGGCAGTGACGGCATTACCACCTCCTGCAATGCCGCTGTCTCTCCCTCATGTTCCTCCTCCCAACCCTCCCGTTCAGCTCTAGTGCGGTTGAGGGAACACTGACAGCACCAGGAGCTATGGCAGTGTCGGCATTACCACCTCCTGCAATGCCGCTGTCTCTCCCTCATGTTCCTCCTCCCAACCCTCCCGTTCAGCTCTAGTGCGGTTGAGGGAACACTGACAGCACCAGGAGCTATGGCAGTGACGGCACCACCACCTTCGATGCCACTGTCTCTCCCTCCTATTCCTCCTCCGAACCCTCCCGTTCAGGTCTAGTGCGGTTGAGGGAACACCGACAGCATCAGGAGCTATGGCAGTGACGGCATAACTACCTTTAATGCCACTGTCTCTCCCTCATGTTCTGTTGCTGCACTAACCACGGACCACCACACCTACAGCAGCAGGAGCTATGGCACTGACAGCACCACCGCCTTCAATGCCACTGTCTCTCCCTCCTGTTCTGCCTCCGAACCCTCCCATTCCCCCACCATGCCCTTCAAGCATACAGCATTACACCCATGGGTGCTGTTGCTGCATTGCCCACCACACCTACAGCACCAGGAGCTATGGCAGTGACAGCACCACCGCCTTCAATGCTACTGACTCCCCCTCCTCCCATTCCTCCTCCAACCCTCCCATTCCTCCTCCCAATCCTCCTCCCATTGCCCCGGTTCAGGTATGCCTCAGGGTCCGGTGGAGCTGAGGGTCCGGTATACCCACCACACCTACAGCAGCAGGAGGTATGGCAGTGACAGCACCACCACCTTCAAAAGTCACTTCTGTTGCACCAATACCCACCACGCCTACAGCGTCAGGAGCAATGGCAGTGACGCATTACCATCTCTAATGCCACTGTCTCTCCCTCATCTTCCTCCTCCCAACCCTCCCATTCAGGTTTAGTGCGGTTGAGGGAACACCGGCAGCACCAGGAGCTATGGCAGTGACAGCACCACCACCTTCAATGCTACTGTCGGGACGTTTGAGTCGACTCAAAAGGCACCTCTGTTGCTCCTCCCAACCGTCCCATATATCCACTTCACGTACGCCTCAGGTCCTGTGCAACTGAGGGTTGATTCAGGTACGCCTCAGGTCCGGTGCAACTGAGGGTTGATTCAGGTACGCGTCAGGTCTGGTGCAACTGAGGTTCGGTGCGACTATCCCATTTCCTCTTGTTTCCCACACACTGCAGGCAAGGTACAGCGCAGCGCACTGCTATGGATGAGTGGTCATATTACCTAACAACAACCACCAGCCACGTCAGCGCACTGGTATGGGTGAGAGGGTAACTGCAGGTTGTTTCTAAGCATTGTCAACAACCGCCTGCCACAGCAGCACACTGATTCGTGGCCGTTACACCTCCTCAACAGTGAGCCTGTGACTGTCTGGAGCGTGCTACGGGTGAGAGGGTAACTTCAGGTGGTTTTTATGCATTGTCAAAAGCCATTTGCCACAGCAGCGCACTGCAATGGGAGTGTTTGCAACATGCCACGGGTGAGTGGGTAACTGCAGGTGGTTTTAAGCATTCTCAACAACCGCCTGCCACAGCAGCGCACTGCTATGGGTGAGTGGTTACCGTTACACCTCCTAACAGTGAGCCGTGACTGCTGGGAGAGTGCTACGGGTGAGTGGCTACCCTTGTTTCTCTTCAACAGTGAGCACGTGACTGCCGAGGGCGTCCACCTCCTTCCCTTCCTCTCCCACTCCCCCTCCCCCTCCCCCTCTGTTTTTGCATTCTCAACAACCCCAGCCACAGCAGCGCACTGCTACAGGTGAGTGGCTACCCTTGTTTCTCTTCAACACTGAGCACGTGACTGCCAGGAGCGTGCTACGGGTGTGGGGATAACTGCAGGTTGTTTTGAGCATTCTCAACAACCACCTGCCACAGAAGCGCACTGCTATGTGTGAGTGGTTACCGTTTCGCCTCCTCAGTAGTGAGCTGTGATTGCCGGGAGCGTGCTACAGGTGAGTGGGTAACTGCAGGTTGTTTTTTTACATTACCAACAACCACCAGCCACAGCAGCACACTGATATGGGTGAGTGGTTACTGTTACACCTCTTTCACAGTGAGCTGTGACTTCCGGGAGCATGCACCTCCCTCCCCTCCCCCAACTCGATCTACCTTTGGTATCCAATCTCTGAAGGAGCCTGTAGATTGCCCCAGAGAAACACCAATGAAATGCTACGGGTGAGTGGGTAATGACTGCCTTTTGTAACTGTGCTCCTGGGAGCCTGTTAGCCTGTGAGTGCTTGCAGCATGAACCTCTTCCCTCCTCCCCTGTCATCCACTTCTTCCTCCTCCTTCCCCCACCTCGCTCTGCTCTTGAAATCCAGTCACTGTATTTCCCCATAGCATGAGCCTGTTGATTTCCCCATACAATAATCCTCTTGATTTCCGCTTACAATAATTCTCTTGATTTTCCCATACCATAAGCCTCTTAATTTCCCCATAGCATGAGCCTCTTGCTTTCCCCATAGCCACAGCACTGCACTGTTATGGGTGGGTTAACGACTCTGAGGTTCTTCTCTGTAGTGGGCATTTAAAGAGTGTGTTGTGGGTCACATGAGGATGTTGCCCCGATATACCAGGTAAATTCTGGAAATCTCCACTGCTGTGAGCAGCATCTATAGCATGTTGACTGGAGCGGCAATAACCACTGCAATGCAAAGCTGCATGTGATGTGAGCTGCTGATTCTCTGTATCTTTTGAGTCAGGTGTAAGGTAACTTTGAGTCGACTCGACAAGTCACTTTGTTGCAACCTGGAAGCCATTTTGGCTTGACTCGAAGGTTACTATGGGTCGACTCCGACAACCACCTTGCTCCTTCTCTCCATCTCTGAAGAAATTATTTCTTGACCGTTTTTCATTGACACTTGTTTGTGGCTAGGGTGAAATCCTTCCTTCACATCTCCTTACATGTGTACAGGTGGCAGCGGTTCCAGCTGCACCGGTGCAGTAGTGTAGTGGCAGATGGACATCTGTACCTACCATGGTTAAATTTCAATATTTCTGTCATATCGTTTCTCCAAGTATCGGGGTATCCTTGTTCCCTATCACTAGCATACCTGAAAGGTAAACCCTTGTGTACATATATTATTCGTTCATTTGAACATGTATGAAATTCATACTACCCGTGCTTATATAGTTGCGTTATCACCATCATAGAACAACTTCCTTTCATCTCAGGTTAAATATATTTGCATTGATTATTTTCATTAGATAGTTAGGTTAAGTTACTCATTATTTTTATCTCAGGTTAAGTATACTTACTGCTTAGCGCACTTGACTGTACAGGGTTCTGACTTCATGTCATTTTCCCCCAATGAAGTCAACGTGAGCTGCCATACTGCCAGCGAAGATAAATTCTTCGCAAAATTTTTGCCAGCCATTCACGCCGTAACAGAGCATCACCGAGGGCTAGTCCCGCTGGCCCCTAGCCCAGAAAAACTTGGTAAGAAAGGCGCGAAACGAGCTTGCGAAAAGCTAGAGCACAGCCAGACTCGGAAGAAACTCGCGAAATGCGTGCGTGGCGTCGCACGGCGAACTGGGTGACTCGGCGCGATTCGCATTCCGTTGCATTGCTGTCAGGATACACTCTCTCGCTTCAAGAAACACATCAGCGCCTTTGGCGTGGGTCTTTGCTTGCATTGCAACCCGTGCCCTGCCCAGTCACCCTTCCCCCGAGTCCCGACTCCCGCCCGACCCTCGCCGCACACACACCCCTCTCCCCCCCTCCAAGGCCTCAACCCAACTCACATGCGCATTCGTGCAAGCACAGCATCTATAGTTTGCACTAGCCTGTTTCTCTGCAGATCCACGCTTTACTTTCACAGCCATCAATGTAGCTGGTTCCTTCAGAGCACGCATTCCGTCTGCTATTTTCAGCGCCTCTGCGAAAATATTTGTTTTTCAATACTATTAGAATCTCAACGTCCCCCTTTTTCTCGTAAGTAAGGAATAGCAGTTTTCGTTACTTCGTTTTATTTTGCCCGTTTCTCCCGTCAGCTAGTATACCGACGACGCGTCGCTAGCGCCGATGGCGGCCGGAAAAACTCCTCCCAATCTTCGACAACTCCTCGTGACTCTCCTCCTCTCTTGCCTTCTTCTCGCGCTCGCTCCGGTGCGCGCGTTCGAATTCGACTGCGCGAACGAGGTCCGCGAGAACGTTGCCGTCCTGAGCTTCTGTAACGGCGACGGCTGGCGCTACTCGTGTCTCTACGGCGGAGGTTACTCTAAGGACGGGTCGGGAGAGTGCACGCGCGTTCAGGCCGGCGCGATTCACTGCGAGGACTGCGAGGGGAACGCGCACGAGCTCCCGCGCTGCTGCGATATAGACCTCTCCGGTTACGAGTTAAGCGCCGGCATACAGGCCAACACGGGGCATGACACCGAGTGGGGAATCACCATTTTGCAGTGCCCCGGAAATTCCGACTGTCACGATTTTGGTTACCCGCAGTGTAACGGGGGTGGGTTCGACGGAATTAACCCGTACTGGATTTACCAAGACAATTACGACACTGGTTATGAATACTGCCCGGAATCCAGTGGAGCGATGTTGCGCGCGCTGGAGCCCCGCGCGCACAGCAGCGGCGAAGTGCAGCTGCGCGAATTAGAGCGTCCCGTCGCGGAGATCCGCGCAGAACCGCCGCGCCCGATTGCTCCCCTCGACGGCGGCGCACGGGCGGGCGGAAAGACCAAGATGAGCCGCCGCTTATGGGGAAGCGGGCGCCCCTGGTCTCCCCCGAAGATGTATAGCCGCCGCTTGTGGGGAAGCGGACGCCCCATGTATAGCCGTCGCCTGTGGGGAAGAGGACGCCCCTGGTCTCCTCCCAAGATGTATAGCCGCCGCCTGTATGGAAGCGGGAGGCAGTGGTACCCATGAGCAGATTCGACCCCTGCTGGGTGTACTCGTGAGTTGGAGCTTTCGCAGTGCTTGAAGTGATGAGATGCCAAGGTGGAACACGGTAAGGCATCATGTGAGAATTTTTGCGAGGTTTGCAGAGGTATAGCATACTGCTTGGTTTCGGTTGTAGATTGGTTTGTTAGGATTGAGATTGGTATGGCCAGTGCAGTCATTTGCAGGCAGCTGTGTGTTGAAATAATTACTTCCAGGCCATCCTGCTTGGGGCCAGATAGAATATTAGGTGGGTGGTACTTCTTAGGTTCTGAGGCACCTGGCTAGTAGTTTAGCTGTTGGACGTTTTTGAAGGTCGGCTGAACTTTAGGGGGTGAGGAGACATTTGCAGAATCGTACTTTAGTCCTTTTATTCTTGTTGGCTTTTTGACTGGCTGGCTGCTTTTGGGTTTCAGATATGGTGTGTATGCTTGTCATGTAGTATGTTCACCTCGAATTTATTGCGTGCCTAGCATGCATGGTGCAATGGTTCGTTGCTTCTACAGCATACTGTCTATGGAACTTCTACTACAGCTGCATGCATTGGGCAGCGGTTCAGTATGGCCTTCATGTCGAGAACAGTATAATGGTGCGCTTGAAGATATATTCACAATATTGGTTGCCGTATGATATGTTATGCCTGCATTATTGTAAAATTCAATGGCTTGTACGAAACATGTATATTGCAATGAGTTAGTTGCCATGTTCATGTTGAGAAAGTTGAGCTATCTATGTTGTGGTTTTCCATGTTGTTGTCGAGTTTGCGGTTCTCATCTTCTACAACGAGTCTGCGGTTTGTCAGATTCACATGGGCATTGGCTGTGGCTTTTGACGGCCGTCTTGTTTTCGTGCAAGCACAGGCCCCCTCACCTGACTGGGGCTCCAGCCACTGGCCACGCCAAACCGGCAAAACGGGAAATTCTTTCAGCAACGGCGAAGTCAAAATCTCCCGCCAAACCAAACGGTCACAAAATTTCCCATCAACCTCAACATTGGGAAACACCTGCGCAACTGCGGTAACCACATTGGCAAATCTTCCGACGCGCAAAGCGCCATTCCCCTGCGCGCTCCGCGGAAAGTTCACCCTTCAATCAAACAAAGTTGCCCCCGAAAATAATAGAGTTGCCAAACTCGACAGTGGGAGAGAGAAGAACAAAGCAGCGTTTGAAGGAATTCCCCTCGTTTAGGGGGAAGAATTTTGACGTTGTGCGATTCAGGCTCTTAGACAGGAGTGAGGAAAACAGGATGGCGGAGTGAAGTTTGCAACACAAAGACCCAGATAGTTCAATACGAAGCCCCACAATGTTCACACAACATACCCCCTAAAAAGCGCACAGAATGAGGTCACTTGGCTTCAAACCAAACCAGTGTCTCCTTCGGCTGGAGGACAATGCTCCCTCTTCATTGTTCAGCAGCAGTACTGTACGCGCCACGCTAGCTAGCAAGCAATCCTGGCCTTGACTCGTGGACGCGAAAGGAAACGGCATTCCCAATAGATCCCCCCTCGAGATTACCAGCTGGTGGAAACATCGTCTCCGGAGTTTCTTGAGATCATCTGAATGAGCCACCATTAATCACCAAGACTACTCACCATCAGGATTCATATCTGTTCACGAAATCGGAGCAAAAGGTTCCTACCTCAAGGAGCTTCCGCAAATAAGCACCCAATCGTCGATCTTGTTCTTCTAACGTTTCATAGGTTTGCCTTGGTCGAGGTGCTAATGGAATGCGCATCAGGATAGAACGTTAGCTTGCGGTTGAGGTTTCTGAAAAGTTTAGTTTGCACTTGAGAAGCGGCGGCCACATAGTACGTTCAGGACCAGCCAATCATCTTAATTATTCGCATTTAGACAGGGTTTTGTGCAGCATCCACTCGTACAAATCCGTACCACTAGATCAGTATTTTTAGTATTTTATGGCGCGAAAAGTATCGCAAGTAGCTGGGATTTTAGACATCCATATCATTCAGGCGGAGGGACTGCGCGAGCTATGCGACTACGGACCCCAGGATGTGTACGCGCGTGTGCTCTGCGGCGAACGCGACGACATCGGTCGAGTGGCTCTGACCACGAAAACCATCAAGTCTGGCGGAAACAACCCGATTTTCAACCAACGACTCCAGGTTAGAAGACGAATATTGACAGTCTTGATGTATGGTATGCATCACAGCTCCCTAAAAGCTTCTTCCATTTTATCAGTCAGCCCATAAACACTCCAGGTTAGTTGATGGGAGCCTGCAGAATGATAATGATTAGAGCGTTGAATCCCTCCTTCTAGTTCATCGTTACGGTATAAATCCTTACAGGTGATTTGATTCAATAGGTACGAACACTTACGAGCAGCAAAAAAAGCTATAGAGCCGTGAACAAAGATTCATGCACCTCCTTATGCCTAACCCACCTACCCTCCTTGTCGTTTCATTCTTGAACTCGGCTATTTTTGTTTTCCCTTCACTTTTCGCTTCTCCGCTCCATGTCAGGTGGGGATGTCTGAGCACCAGTCGGACGTCAAGTGTGAGAAATGGATGACAAATTTCCAGCGTTTTGAGATTGTTCAAACTATAATTTTCCTTCTTTTATCACCCGATGTCACTTTCCTCCACTGACGTACTTCTTCTCTTTTTAGGTTGGCGTGCCTGAGCGCGAGACGGAAGTGAAGTGCGAGATATGGATGGCGAGTCACCACCGCGGCACGACGGACGATCAGCTGCTCGGCTTCATCCAGATTCCCATCAGGTCAGATTTTTGACATGTATTACGTCATCGGATCATAAGGACGTGCATCATATGTTTCAACACGACAGACGATTAGCAAAGTCATGAATCGTTGAATATCATTGTTACCTTTTGTGCATCTAAAATGCTTGGTTATTTTTCAAAAAGATATCGATTAGACGAGCTTGGCTTTGTGATTGCTTCACCCACACCTCCTTGGTGTCGACTCACAATTCTCCTAACTTCAGCCCTCTTCGTTCCCTTTTTTCTCTCTTCTCCTTCATTGCCCCTGCCTTGGAACAGAGACATCATGGAAAGAGGCAAAGCCGGCGTTCAGGAGTTTTACCTGCGAGCTTTTGACGAAGTTGGTAACCTCTTCGCCAGCTCCGCGAAAGTTCGAATCTCCCTCTCGTACCACCCGCGGCCGGGCAGCAGCAACGCAACCCCCACTGGCGGAAACACCCCCTCTGGCAAGGCACGCGGAACGCCCTCCAGCGCAAAGGGGAACATTCTCGGGCGCGCGCTTACCGCAGCATTCTCCCGCATCTCCGCGGAGAAGGCCGCGGAGAGGGCTGCGGAAAAAGGGGCGGAAAAGGGAGGCGGCGGCATTCCGGGCACTCCCGCAGGAACCCCCATCCGCGCGCAGTCGTTCTCCCGCGTCCACCCAGAGACATTCAGCAGCGCTGGCGGAGGGGAAGGGGGAGGGGGAACGCCTTTCGGAACGCCCGCGCGCATCGTAGGAGGTGAAAGTGGTGGGGCGTCAGCAGGGGGGGCGTCAGCAGGGGGGGCGGCACCGCAAGGCACTCCAGGGGGTATTCCCAACGGTGTTGGGGCTACTCCGGTGGCTACACCTGGGAAGGCACCTGAAAACATACCTGGGATCACACCTGGAAATACACCTGGCCGGGCATTGGCGAGCTTACGACTTGGCAATTTGACGTTCACGCCTGGGATTCAAACGCGGGAGGCCATGTCGTCGCATGGCCCTAGTACGCTGCAACGGTCGCGGCCCATGTCGCCACGGTCGCCGGCGTCGCCCAGGTCGCCCATGTCGGAGGTGCGCGACGGTCTGCGACACGGGCTGGACCTGGTGCAGGCGCTGCGCGAAGTTACCGAAGGAGGGGCGAAATTCGCGAACGCGAGTAACAAGAAGCAGAAGTCGAAATCGGGGCCGCTTAGCGTAAACCATCCGTACATGATGGAAGCCGTGGATCTGCAGCGCAAGCATAAATATAAAGCGCAATCCGGCCCATTGTTCGATAACGGAGACGCCTATGACGCGGATGGGGGAGGCTCCGGAACCTGCAGCCCGTACAGCTCCCGCCGCCCCGCGTCCTCCTCTCCCCCGAGGCATGTGCGCAAGATGATCCTCCCCCACCGCTCCGCCACTCCGCCCATGTCCTTCCGCGAGGCCCCGCAACCCCCCCATTCTGGGGGAGGGTTCATCCTCGGTAGAAGCGCCCCGTTAAACCCAGAAGCTCTTGACCTCTGGGAAGGGGGCGAACCCCCACCAGCGGTATTCACCTCTAGATCTGGGCCGTTACGGCTGCAGGGTAATTACTCGGGATATAAACCGACGTCGGGTCCTTTACCCACCACAACTTCTCTGATGAAGCTTGATTCTTTAGATACTCCGCCTACTCTTCCCCCTCCCCCGTCTCTCCGCGCTATGCGTCGGGGAGGAGGCGTGGCGGGGAGCGCGCTGTTCTCGCACTCGATTGTTAGCGGGAGTGCTTATAGCGGGGCTGCGTTAAGTGGAGGGACGTTTAGCGCGGGAGCGGGGAGCATGCAGGAGACGAACAGCTCGAGCGGCTGCCACGTGGGATCCACGGGCGATGACGTGTCATCTGGTATGGCAGGTTCGGGGATGGCAGGCTCGGGAGTGACAGGTTCGGGAAGGTTGCTTCGGCGGCAGGGATCTGGCGGCCGGCAAGGACCGGGCTTGCAACAAGGGTTCGGCGGACGAACAGGGGGAGGCGGAGGCATGGGGGGTGTTACAGGCGGGAGCGTTGGCACGTGGGGGAGCGGAGGGGCGGGGGGAAGCGGAGGCATGGCGGGAAGTGAAGAGACGGGGGTAAGCGGAGGTATGGAGGCATCTGCAGGGGCCGTGGCGGGCGGGTTTGGCAGCTTCGGCGGCGCGTTTGGGGCGGGCGGATTTGGCAGCTTCTCCAGCCTGGCGTCCCAAGGGTCAGTGAAGGCCCCGCTACAGTCACAAGGCAGCTTCAGCGGCGTTAACGGTGCAACTACCTTCTCCGGCCGGGGAATGCCCAATAGCCTGCAGCGCGGGGGAAGCGGGGGGAGCGTGCAGGACGAGGGCGAGGGGGAAGCGGAAGGGGCTGGAGCGGAGGCATTGGGATTGGAAGGAGGGTATGCGGGAGGGAAGGCGGTGGGAGGAGAAGGATTCTTTGTGGAGAATGACCTGGCAGGGGGAAAGGATGACGTGGCACTGTTTCTGCCAGAAGGGCGAACCTTCGAGGAAATGCTGATGGAGGAGAAAGAAACGGGGTTACAACAGGGAATCCCCACCACCGCCACCGCTGCTTTTGCGAGTGGCGGAGAGGAGGGTTTTGAGACGAGCCACATGCTGATGGACGCGGCAGGTGCCTTAGATGTTTTCCCCTTGCCGATGCCTGAAGGATTTGACACTATGGGATGGGATGAGATGGAGGTGTCGGAAAATGGGGGGCCGGAGGAAGGAAATGCGGCGTGGGAAAGAGAGTCTGTGCCCGTGGGCGGAGGTGGGGTTGATGGGGTGGGGGATGGAAGCAGCATCATGGTGAACGAGCCTTGCATGCAGCACCCACAGTATTTGCCGCCACAGCAGCAGCAGCAGCAGCAGCAGCAGCTGCCGCAGCAGAACCAGCAGTTTCAGCAGCAGCAGTGGCAGCACCAGGAGCAGAACCAGCAGCAGTACCACCAGCAGCAGCAGCAGCAGCACCAGCAACAGCACCAGTACGGAAACCAACAGCAGCAACCTGAGATTTTTCCTGAAATTCCTCCTGAATTAACACCTGCAGGTGCTGTTCCGCATCCACTAGTCGCATCATCCTTGTCCTCCACCATCCGCTGTGTGAACAACCCGCTCCAAACATCCCCTGTTCATAACAACAACCTTGTCTCAGGGCGCACCGGTTGTGCATCAGGGCGCAGCGCACATCCTTCCGTGGCGTCAGCAGCAAGGCTATCGGCGCAGCAGAAACTGTGGCAGCGGCGGCAGCAGCAGGGAGTAGGAGGGGCAGGTGGTGGGGTGATGAGGCAAGGAGGCGGTCAGGAACAGTACGAGCAGCAGCACCAGGAACAGCAACATCAGCAGCAGCTCCATCAGCAGCATCATCAGCAGCAGCATCAGCAAATAATGTCCCCGCTACAGCAGCAGCAGCAGCATCAGATAAGCCCACAGCAGCAGCAGCAGCAGCATCAGATAAACCCACAGCAGCAGTGGAATCAGGAACAGACATCGCCACCACCTCAGAATGGCTGGCCACGCCAGCAACCCGCCGCCAGGCAGCAGGCATTCCAGGTGAGGCGCACTGCCTCTTCGCTCACTGTTTTGACATGTCCCAGTTCGAAGCTTGAGACGTGGCAGTTTACACGTCTCTTAAAGATCGAGGCGTCGTGTCAAAACGAGTCAACATCGTCTCAGGTGAGCTGCATTTCTGTTTCTTTTTCCCTTGCTGTTTCTGAGATGTCTGGGTTTGAGACTTGAGACGTTACAGTCTCTAGTCTTTAAGCTTCAGATCTCAAATCGAGCTACAGAACAGAACTTGTTCCCGGGTGGGCCTCACTACCTTTTTCACCAGAGTTTTTAATATGTCTGGATTTTGAAACCTGGTACGCCACAGCTACACGTCTTAAAGCTTGAGATGTTCGAAAACGAGTTGGGAATTCGTTCCAGTGACCATATCCTTGTCTCAAAACTGGAGACTTTTGAGGGGAGATGCACTATTGTTTCACTTGCTCTTTTTCTACCTGTCCAACTGATTCTGTGCTTCTGGGTTTGCGGTAACACTAAATCTATGCTTTGCCATTCCCCCATCCACATCTCTACCTCTCCCCTCACCATCCCCTCAAAATGACGTTTTCCAGCAACAAATGGCACAGGCACAGCAACAGCAGCCTTTACCAGCCGCACCCCCCTCCCACCAGTTCGCCTACACATGCCCCAGTGGTAACCAGCAAAGGACAGAAAATGCCAGCCATGTGAATTGCTTGCACCCTGGCGAAGCCAGCGACACCATCGACTTGAGTGACACGATAGTCCCTAGTGAGATGGTCGTTCTGAGCGATACAGATGAAGAAATGGACGCTGTTCTCCGTTCTATCATCAAACCGAACCACAGCCAGGGCGGTGCTGGTGGTAACGGCAGCAGCGATGGCAGCAGGCGGAGGAGTCTGTCAGCCTCTCGGGTGATCAGCATCAGCAGTGCAGCGCTGCAGGAGCAGCAGCACCTGCTACAGCAACAGATGGAAGCAGCTTCGGTGGCTCCGTTTCCCCATTCCCAGTCCACGTCCTCCCTGCCACGTCAGCCACCAGTCAGCCCAGTCAACCAGGCCAACCCAGTGAGCATGAACCAGCAACTACAAGCTGGCACGTTCGAACAGCAGCAGCAACAGAACCACCAGCAGCAGCAGCAGCAGCAGCAGCAGACAGAGCACCATCAGCAGCAGCTGCAGCAGGGGGGACTAAGCATCATTTCAGGAGTGAATGTTGACACGGCAGCAGCCATAGTGGAGGGCCTAGCACAGCCGTTCTCCCCGCCCTCTGATGTCCCTCCCTTCAGTGCATTCGATGGTGCTCTCTCCAACCCAGCAACAGAGAGAGGAGACAGAGCGGGACCAACAGCATCCACAGGAGTTGTGCTAGTGGCTAGCAGCAATGCTGGTGGTGTTGGTGGCAGGGGCATGGGCGTTGGCGTTGGAATTGGGAGGTCTGGCTTGGGTGGTGGTAGTGTGGACGGGTGTGGTGGTAACGCCGGTGTCAATATTCAGCAGCACCAGCAACCATACCAGCAGCACCATCAGCAGCAGCAGCTGGGTCAGCAGGGTCAGCAGGAGGGGCATGTGATGGGTATGTGGAAGGTGTATGACAACCAGCTTGTCTCTGATAACCTGCTTCTTTCAGACAACCATATCCACACACCTTCCTCAGTGTCGTCTCCTGGGTTTGGCATGACAACAGGAGCAGCTGCAGGGAGCACTTTGCGTAGTTCTAGGGGTGTTGGGTGGAGGACAATGGGAGAGGGCATGGTTGCGGGTATCAGAGGGGCAATGGGAGGAGGAGTTGGAGGGCCGATGAGAGGAGGAATGGGAGGGTTTGGGGGAGGAATAGGAGGAGGGAGAGATGGTGAAATCGAAGGTGGTGGTGCTGTCACTGCCATAGCTCCTCCTACCGCTGTGGGTGTGGTGGCTAACACAGCAGCAGCACCCGTGGCTGCAATGCAGTATGCTTGAAGGGGCTGGCGTGGGAAGGTGGAGTGGAGCGTACAAACCAACGGGAGAAAAACAGTGCCATGCCAAGGAGCAGAGGCCTGTACTTTAGATATCAGGGAGGAGAATAAGTTATGATTGTTCGGTGGAGGGGCAGGGATGATTACTTCAATGCATACTAGCAAACCTTACTTTGCTCGGAGTTCAAGAGTAGAGGCTTAGAGGCAAGCTAGCTCTTATGTTTTATAAGGGAGTGGAATGATCAACGTTAGCTGGTAGACCAGGGAGGGGTGATTATAAGAGTTTTGCTCTTGCAGACCATTAGACGGTCTAGTTAAGCTTCTAGTAGGTGAGTTTAAGAATGTAGGTTGAACGACCAGACCAGAGCAGAACAATCCATTTTGCTGCTAGGCATGAATGTTTGCTAGCAATTGATTTTGACGTCCAACTTCTGCATGAACTATCTCAAGCAACACAACAGCCAATAGAAAAGTCAACAATAATGTCAAGCCAAGTACGCTTCTCTACATCCACCCCCACTCTTCCCGTTCAGCTAACACCACCAGGAAAACCTTAACACCTCTATTAAGCATGTGCTTCTGTACTAAACAGCCACCATCAGTCTAACCTCCTACCCATCCACAAAAGCGGTGGTTTGGTAGTGATTATTTTAGCACACAACTAACAGGAAATGGTTGCACGGGGCACAACCAATGGCAAAGCTCTAGCCCAATTTATCTGCACCAGAATCCAGAACCACCATCACTTCAGCTGCATCCCTCCCCCTTCCCCTTACCCCACCTCAACTGCCCCAATCAATTCTCCTCTTGTACTTTCTTACCTTGTTCCACCTTGGTGTGACTTCGAGCTCCGTCGAATCTCCTTCCCACTTCACCCGTTACACCCTGTGCGGGTTTCGAATCTGCTTATTACGGGTACCACTGCCTCCCGCCTCCATACAGGCGGCGGCTGTACATCTTGGGGGGAGACCAGGGACGCCCGCTGCCATACAAGCGGCGGTACATGGGGCGTCCGCTCCCCCACAGGCGGCGGCTATACATCTTGGGGGGAGACCAGGGGCGGCCACTCCCCCACAAGCGGCGGTTATACATTTTCGGGGGGGACCAGGGGCGCCCTCTTCCCCATAAGTGGCGGCTCATCTTGGTCTTTCCGCCCGCCAGTGCGCTGTCGCCGAGGGGAGCGATCGGGAGCGGCGGTTCTGCGCGGATCTCCGCGGCGGGACGCTCTAATTCGCGCAGCTGCACTCCGCTGCTGCTGCGCGCGCGGGGCTCGAGCGCGCGCAGCATCGTTCCGCCGGATGCGGGGCAGTATTCGTATCCTTTATCATAGGAATATTGACTAACCAAGTACGGTGCAATTCCGTCGAACCCACCCCCGTTTCACTGCGGGTAACCAAAATCGTGACAGTCGGAATTTCCAGGGCACTGCAAGACACTGATTCCCCACGAGGTGTCATGACCCGTGTTGGCCTGAAAGCCGGCGCTTAACTCGTAACCGGAGAGGTCTATATCGCAGCAACGCGGGAGGTCGTGCGGGGTTCCGTCGCAGTCGTCGCAGTAAAGCGCGCCGGCCTGAACGCGCGTGCACTCTCCCGACCCGTCCGTGGAGTAACCGCCGCCGTAGAGGCACGTGTAGCGCCACCCGTCGCCGTTACAGAAGCTCAGGACGGCAACGTTCTCGCGGACCTCGTTCGCGCAGTCGAATTCGAACGCGCGCACCGGAGCGAGCGGGAGAAGAAGGCAGGAGAGGAGGAGAGTCACGAGGTGTGTTCGGAGATACGCGGGACGAGCGTTTCCGGTTGCCATCGGCGCTGGCGACGCGTCGTCGAGACTAGCTAATGAGTAGTACTTCTAAAGAATACTACTCTGATTATTCGCTCAAAAACAACGAAGTAACGAGAGCTGCTCTTTCTTATTAATTCGATTAAAAAACACGACGTTGAGTTTTCACAAACGAAATACGGAGAGTTGCGCTGAAAATCGTGCTGTGAAGGAACAGGCTGCTAGCTGGATAGCTGTGGAAATAGCGACCTTTGGGAGGGACGCACGGACTGGAACAAACTAAATGCACGCGGGGACCACCCACCTCATGGCTAATGAGGTGAGGCAAGGTAGCGGGGAGAATGCACCGGGAGAGAGGGTGTGCAGCGCAGGGAGGGACGCAGCCAAGCCAGCCAATGCCGCGCGGGAGAGCGCTGAATCCCGTCCCGAGGGTGTGTTTTCTTGGGGAAAATTGTGATGAGTGATGAGTTGTCAGGACAGCAATGCATGGAATTCGAACCGCGCCGAGTCACAAAGTTCGCCGTGCGACGCCACGCAAGGTTTCGCGAATTTCTTTCGAGTCTTTCTGTGCCCTTGATTTTCGTAAGCCCGTTTCGCGCTATTCTTAGAGGCCAGGGGCCAACGGAGCTGGCACTTCCACGCTGCTCTGTTACGACTCAAATGGTTGGCGAAGTCGTCACCCAGGTTGGCGAAAACCTTTTCCCTGCTGAGGTATCGCAGCTCACGTTGACTTGGTTGGGAGAAAACGAAATGCAGTCAAGACGCTTTACAGCCAAATTCGCTAATCGGCAAATGTACAGTCAACCCTCTACAGACAATCACAGCTGTACAAGCACTAAAACATGCACTTTTTTGGTGGATATAAGTATACTATTAGAAACATACAAAGATCCGCAGTCGTAACTGTAGAATTGGGAGGCTGAGACTAAAGCATGTACTGTAAACCGAAAACGTTAAATCATGTACCTAAAACCTAACAAAAAGACATAACATTACCATCACAACAACCAAAGCCATGTGTTATAAACTGCAGAAGGGACAGCAATGTAATATCATTTTTAGCTGCGGCTGTACACACGATGCCCAAGCCACTGGTGAAACCTCAACGCTCGTGCAAAATCGAACCGCCACGTGCAAGATCGATTCTTTGCTGGATCAACACACGACCATACGGGATTCAGTGCCACGTGGCCATTGGCCAACACCACCACCACCTGCCTAGACTGTCGCGGGGCAAAATCGCACGGTGGGGTGGGGGGTGGGGGAATGGGGGTACACCCTAGTGCTCACTCAAATGCTCACTTTGAACAGGCCTCTGCTATTCGACAGCAGCAGTGGTCGACATTCACAGCCAGCAGCCAGAAAGTCACAAGCCCAGGACAAAAACCAAGTTTTTCTTGACGCGATGGAAGCGACGGGTGAGACCAAGTTATTCGAGTTTCCCAGACAGATCAAGTTGGCTACCGACAATTTAGGCGGCTGTATTTGAGCTGATAACCCCGATACTACATTCAGTCCCATCTTCCTTTGAATGTCACGAGCGCGAGAGAGATGCTGGTCAAACACGGAGGAGCGGAACGAAACGGGTTTTTGGGTGTACACACAGTTGATGATATTGTACACGTGTGAAAACACTGTACACGTGTTTTTGGTGGGTACCCACGTGTGATGGACATCTGCGATTCGCATAGGGCTTCACCACCAGCCCAACACTGTGGAGTACAGTGACCAGGCTCACTCACCTAGCCTTGAATTTAAACCAAATTCGTCTTGACTCGACTGAACCGCGCGGTTCGCCCTCACTAGAGATAAGCGAGAGAGCTTATCAACGCGAAGGAGTCGCGTCGCATAGCAGCACTGACTGCACCACGATATAAGGAGACTCGGGGCAAGTCCGTCAATCATTCAACACTCATCGTCGACCCTTTCTGCAATTCAAGTTTTTTTCCCTCCATTGAATGGCGAAGATGGCGTTTCCGCGCGGGCACCTCGTTCTGGTTGCGCTGGTTTGCCTGCTGCACACCGCGAAGGCAACGAACATGCCCGCTGCTGGTTGCCACACTCGTTACGTCTGCCCCTACATTGACGACCTCGCTAACGCGACAATCGACCAGTCCACGTTCACCAGTTACAAAAATATTGGCGATTACCTGGGGCAGTTCAACAGCCAGGGCGGGCAATACACGCCCCACCAGCGCGGGTCAGGCTCTGTGAATTTCGAGCGGTACACGGAGGTGGGGACCATTTTCGACGTGGTGAAGGGCGTGTACGGCGATACCCTTCAGGAGTGCTGCCGTGCGTGTGCTCGATCCACCTACTGCTACCAGTGGCACTGGTTCAAGAAGTAAGCACCGTCTGCTATATCTTAATCTTCACTTTTTAAAGCGTTCGGATTGGAAGGGCGCATGCCTTTCCAGCGAAGGCGCGTTATACCGTCCTGATTTCGCAACTGACTAATTCTGTTTATTCCGATGTTTCTGTTTCGTTTTTCTTGTTTCTTTTTTCCCGTCACGTTCTCTCAGCACTCGCCTGGCCGGCGAGAACACGAACGTGGTGGGGTTTATCGACCGCGTGCAATGCTACCTGCTGGAGAAGAACGGCGGCACGGGCACGTCGGGCGCCTTCAAGACCCCGTACGCGGGGAGCACGGCGGAGCAAACGGCAAACGCGGCCATGTACCCGCTGAGCTTCGTCGGTGGGCTGTGCAACGGTACCGCGCTCGTCGAAAACGACCCGCATCTCACGGGAGCGCACGGCACGCGCTACGACTTCACCGGGCGGCTCGATAAGTCGTTCTGCCTCTTTTCCGACCGTCGATTCCACGTGAACATGCTGCTAAACGGCTACCAGGGCGCGCCGCCTGCGCTCCCCGCGTCGGCGACGGCGAATAAGGACAAGGACGAGAGCACGGAGCTGCACACGTGGATTAAGGAGCTCGGCGTCGTGTGGATGACGCCCGACGGCGCGAACCACACGCTGCGCATGGTTGCGCGCAAGGGGAAACAGCAGGAGCGCGGAATCAACGGCTTCATGTCGCTCATGGAAATCGACGGCCAGCCGACGGCGCCGCCGACCGTCGGCGAGTCGATCGCGACGGAAAGCGGGCTGGTGGTTACCAAAATCGCGGAGGCGAAAGAGGGGCCGTTCGACGTGGATCAGTTCCAGGTGCGCGTCGCGGGGCTGGGGGAACTCGACGTGCGCGTGCGCGTGGCGCACCCGTTGCTGCAGACTCCGGAGGAAGCGGAGACGCACTTCAACGTCGAGCTGTCCGACGTGAAGATGACGTCAGCCGTGCACGGCGTGCTCGGACAGACGTTCAGGAACACTCCGGAGCAGCTGAAGCGCGCGGTTAAATACTCTACGCTGGCGACGCTGCTGCATCATCCCGTCGACGTCGACAAAGCGGAGGGGAAGGGGTTCCTAGACGGGGACGTCGAGGATTATATTACGTCTTCTATCGTCGCGCCGGACTGCAAGTACGCGAGCTACGCCCGCGCCGCCTAAGAGGGTCGCGTCTTACCTAATAAAATTGGGCTGCTATTACTACTAGTAGCAGTGCCGGCGCTACCACTCGCAAGGGAGGGTGAAAATGTGCCACGGCTTCGGGAGTGGTGGTTGGCTTGGGTGAGCCTGCGATATGTGCGGTTGGGTTAGGTTGGAATGGGTTTGGTTGGTTGGAGTGACGGAATGTCGTCCCTGTTCCCGTTTCAGTCCGTACATCTGGCGGATTGCCTTTCTGTAAGGCAAATAAAGTGGACGGTTGGCCGCTTTGTAAACACTATTTTCTAAATAGTTTCATTATTTGCTGCAAATCGCCTAAACGTTGCCTTTGATATCAAAACAAGGTGATATGTATTTCTCGTGGTTGGGGCACTCCCTGACATCCCTCTCAAGTGAATGTTTGCCATAGTGCATTAGACAAGGAAAGGGTGTCACAGCCGTACTTCCGTATAATAGCATTGCATTGCAATACAAACACTTCGCTGCAACCAACGCTAGCTTTCCCCCCTGAACGCGTTCCCATCCCATCCCATTGTTACAGAATGAACCTCTTCCTCCCAACATCACGCTTTCCTTCCCCTCCCCATCCCTCCTTCTCTCCCCTTCCTTCCTCTCTGTTGCCTGACTCCTATCGCCCCCATGTGGCCCACATGCCCATCTCACTGGCCCAGGAAGGGGACTTAGGCACCTTGAGAGGCACAAACACCGTTGCTTCATACTCCCTTCCATGCGCCCCTTCCACACCAACATCATCCTCTGCTCCTTCCAACCCCCCCATCCCTTCCATCATCCTTTTCACATTCATAGCCTCGTTATCTGCGTAACTCCTGCTGACGGGAATCACTCCTTTCTCGATATAGTCCCTCCTCCCATCCGTTTTGCTCCTCCGCATCGGCACAACCCCGGCATCGTCGTTTCTGTTACCGTCAAAAGCAGAATCATAACCAACGCCACCACTAGTAGCAGTGGCAACAGCAGTGGATGCAACTTCACTCAACCCATCCCCATACCTGCTCCCCCTTACCGAGCCTCCCCAGCTGCTTCGGACCCAGCTGCTTACCGAGCCTGACAGGCGGCTCCCGGTCTGGGTTCGGGAGAACATACCAGCCCAGGAAGAGGAGAGGGCGCGGGAGGAGGAGAGCGTGGGGGAGGAAACACCTGCAGCCGCGTCGGGGGAAAAATCAAACAGCGAGTCAACTACCCGGGGTAAAGGAGAGTGAACCGGAGCCTTAGCCTCGCCGCTTTTGAGCCGCTGCAGGTGTCTTCTCAGGGAGAATCGGCCGCCTTTGTGCGTGCTGCTGTTGCTGCCGTCTGTGCCTGAATCTGCTTGGTGCTTCACCTCTGGCAAGAAAGGAACCGTACTGCTAGCCTCGGTACCACACTCAACCTGCCTGTCAGCCCCACCAACACCATCAGATGCATTCTGAGCAAACGAAGCATCTCGGCTCAGCACGCCATTCTGGTTGAGGGAACCATCTCTGCTCATAGCAGCATGCTGATTCAGAGACCCGTCTCGGCTCATTCTCCCATGAACCACCTTCACTTCCCTGTCTGACTCGGCCAGTTTGTCCCGACCTCCGCTCGAGCTTCGGCCGAACAGCCGGTCTCGGAAGCCTCGCCGCTTGGTCCGGGGATCGGCCTCAGGTTCGGTTTCAGGCTCGGGCTCCTCCCAGACCTGTGGGTCTGGGGAGAGCGGTTGCACCAGATCATAGTGGTATGCGGTTTGGAAAACAGGTTCGGCGCCAGGTTCGACGAGGGACAACGGGGCAAGGGAGGCATGCGGTGAGAAGGGAGGGAGGTGGGTGTAACGCGGTGTGCATGGGTTAGAAGGTAGGCGACTGGGTTGAGTGCGGCTGCGGCTCAAAGGGGGGTAGGCTGGAACCTCCTCCTCCTCTAAATCGGCCTCCTCTATTCCGCCCCCTCCTCCAACTGCTATTCCCTCACACACAACCCCTCCTCTTGCTCTCAACCTACCCTCACCTACACTCTTGCTCCTCCTCTCCAACCCTCTCTCCTCCGCTCCGCACTCACTCCCCTCTCGAACCTCCCCACTGTTTCCACTATCCCCATCTCCCTTCTCCCTTCGCCCACTCTCCCCGCCTCGCTCACTCCCATCCTTTCCACCTCTCTTGCTCTCACCAGCCCTTCTCGCAGCAGCACGCTCACGTGCCCTTCTCTCTCGCATAGCCCTAATCTCCCTCTCCATCTCTCTCAACGCCTTCTTCTCTCTCACCCTCTGTTGCTTCTCCCCTCCCTCCTCCTCGCCCCCTCCCTGTCTCCACCTCTCGTCCTCTCCTCTACCCTTCCCCTCCTCTCTCCCAGCTCCTGTGACCGAGTCACCTGCACCCTTCCTCCTCTCTTTCCCTCCATCCTCTCTTCTCCCTGACTTCACCAGCTGACTCGAAACGATCTCTCCTTTCGACCATTCTCTCTCCATCAGACTTGTCCCTCTGGGTGTGCGAGCTGGCATAGAGGCCTGTCGATAAGGCTGCTTGTGTCTCTCCCCCTGCTGCATCTGCTCCCTCCCCTCAACAATGTTTCTAACAAGCATATCCGCAACCGGGGCTGCATCCGTTTCTCTCTCTCCCTCTGCTGTGGCTCGCCCTGCAGCGCCTAACACCACTTCCAGCGCTGCAGCTTTCGCTGCTGCTCGTTCTCTCCGACTCATTGATCGTTGCAGCAACAGCCTCACCCGATCGCTCTGCTGCTGCCCCTTCTCCTCCTGCTGCTGCTGCTGCTGCTGCTGCCCCTCCTCCTCCTCCTGTTCAATCTGCTGCTGCTGCCTTTGCTGCAGCTTCTGCTGCTGCGACCAAGCCTCAATACGGCTACCCAACCCCCCTTGGACGCTCCCTGCACGTCGCATCCCAACCCCCTCCCCTGCCGCTCCCCCTCCCACGACCTCATCTGCTCTCAATCCCACATCTCCCTTCCCCACAACCCCATTCCGCCCCACACCTCTCCGCCCCACCACCTTCCTTTCTGATTTCGACCGTATCAGTGGTTGACCCGAGTCAACCCCTTCCTCCTCCCAGGCAGATATGACATCCCTGACTGATGCAGGTGGCTTCTGAGAATTCTCTAAATCTTCCCGCCCCCGTCCTCTTCGGCCCACCGCTCTCCTATCCGATTTTGACCGCACCAGCGGTGGACTCGAGTCAACCCCCTCCTCCTCCCGGGCAGAGGCGGAATCCCGGGCAGATGTGAAACTCCGGGCAGGCGCCAATTTTTCAAACACATTAGGCGCGAAACCCAGAGGAGGGGAGGAGCCGGTAGGAGGAGAACACCTGGCAGCACCTGATTGGAGCACCAGCACATGCCCATCCCGGCCAATCACATCCTCCCCATCTCCAAACACGTCCCATGCATTCAGCCGCTTCTTCCGCCCCTGTTCCCTCATGCTCCCTCCTTGCCTTGACCTTGACTCGCTGCCTTTAGCAGCGCTTGCAAATGGTGTCCCCGCTAAGGTTTGCTCTGCTAGGGATTGATCTGTGCACGGTTGATCTGTTAAGGGGGAGAGCGAGAGAGAGAGGAGGCGTTCCGTGGAGGAGGTTTTGGATCGCCGCATGCAGTGCCGCCCTCTGCTTCTCGTGCTTGCAGTGCTCGTGCTGCTGGGGGTCCTGGAAATGCTGCTGCCCTCTGTGGCAAGGCTGCCACCTTCCGCAGTGCTGTCCTCAGCTTCCGTTTTGAGAGGCTCAAAATACGAGCTGCGGCGTGCAGATTCTGTTTTAAGGGGCTCGTAAACCGAGCTGCTGCGGGCAGCGAAGCTTCGGCTTTGGCCTGCCTGTGCTAACAATGGTTGCTGCTGCTGTTGTTGCTGACAACCCTGCTGCTTCTCGCGCTCCTCCCATCTTCTTGCTGTCTCTGCTCGCCTCAACTCCCCCACCTGCCCATCTCCCATCCCATCCACCCCGCCAGCCATACTTTCCTCTTCATGAGAGGGGACGTGGTCAAGTCTTTGAGCAGAGGAGGTTCGGATTCGAGGTGGGTTTTGCGGCGCTTCACCACTCTTGTCAGGGGAGGGGGCGGGGTCGTGTCTGTGAGCGGAGGAATTTCGGGACCGCCGCATCTGGTAGCTTCGGCCACTTCCTTTTCTCTCCGCAGCAGTAGCAGGAGCAGGAGCATTGCCTTGTAGCATTGAGGCGGTGTGCACTGAAACGTGAAGCCCTTCCTCAGGGGAGAGAGGGGGAGAGCCGAGCCTCTGCTTAGAGGAGGTTCGGGACCGCCGCATCTGGTAGCTTCGGCCACTTCCTTTTCTCTCCGCAGCAGTAGCACCACCAGTAGCACCACCAGCACCAGCAGAAGCACCAGCAGCACCACCAGCAGAAGCACTAGCAACAGCAGCACCACCAGCACCACCAGCAGGACCACCGGCAGGACCACCAGCACCACCAGCAGCACCAGCACCACCAGCAGAAGCACTAGCAGCAGAAGCACCAGCAGCAGGTGTATTGCCTTTCAGCCTTGGGCCGGCATGCACTGCAACTTGCTGCCCTTGCTGTCCCTTCTGCTGCCCCTTCTGTCCTTGCTGCGCCGTTTGCTGCTCCCCCCGCGTTACCCGCACTTGCTCGACTCGCCCTCGCATGGTCTCAACCCATCGCATCGACACAGCTGCATTCTGCTGCTCCTCCCCACCCGCAGCACCTACTATCTCTTCTGCACCCCCCTTGCCCATCTCACACAATTCAGACCCGCTCCGTGCCCTCGCTCTCATGCCCCCCGCTCGTTGCATTGCCACAGCTTCATGCGGCTGCTGCTCCTTTCCACCCGCTGCATCCCCTCTTGCACCACCCACCATTGAACCCTCAACTCTCTCCTCACCACTCTCCACCGCACATTCTTCCTCTGCACCTCTTTCCACTGCACCAATTTCCTCCACACCCCCCTTGCCCATCTCACATAACTCAGATACACTTCTCGCTCTCACTCTCATGCCCCCAACCCCTCTCGCACCAACCCCTTTCCCACCCTCCATCCCTTCCGCACCTTCCATTCCTCTCCCAACCCCTTTCCTGCTCTCACCTTCCATCCTCCTCCCACCACTCCTCCCACCCTCCCCTCGCAGCGTTTCTGCTCGTCTCATCTCCACAACCCCTTCACCCATTCTATCCAGCTCTGTCCCGCTCCTCGCTCTCACTCTCATTCCTCCAATCCTTTTCTCACCCCTCGTTTCTCCCATCCCTGCAACATCCCTCGCTCCATTCTGCCCTCGCAGCCCCTCACCTCGTTCCGTGCCTTCACGCTCCTCCCCTGAAGTGCTCCTGCTTCTGCTTCTCCACGTACCCTCTCCCATATCAGCGGCAGCAGCAGCACCGTCACCACCACTCTCCCCCTGCCTCGTGCATTCGCTTTCCTCCCCTGAAGTGCTCCTGCTTCTGCTTCTCCAGGTGCCTCCTCCCATACCATTGGCATCGCCAGCAGCAGCACCAACACCAGCAGTAGCAGCAAAAGCAGCAGTACTAGCAGCAGCACCACCACCATCACTCTTCCCTCGCCTCCTCCCCACACTCTCCTCCCCAGAGCTGCTTCTGCTTCTGCTCCTTTCTGTGAGTGTTGCTGCTCCTTGTTGCATCCCCCAACTCGTTTCACTTGCATTCAGAGGAGATACGAGGGTAGGAGATACACCAGTGGGGGACACACTGTGAGGTGACACACTGTAGGGAGACACACTATAAGGAGACACACCTGTGGCAGGGAATACACTGTATTGAGACACACTATAGGGAGACACACTGGCAGCAGGAGAGACACTGTGGGTCGACAGGCTAACAGGAGAAACACCAGATGGGGACACACTGTGAGGAGACACACTGGAAGGGCGCTTTCCCCTGTTCGTTCCCTCCCGCCGCTTAATTAAGCGCTGTTGCTGCACCACAGGATCATTCTGAGCCACAGGATCTGCTTGGATTGATCTCGACCGTCCATGAAGCGTGTCCGCACGGCTCATGCCCCCCGGTTCGCCCTGAGCAGGCAAATCCACTGAATCGGATCTCACTCTCCCCCTGAGCGTCTCGGATCGCCTCATCTCGCGGAAATCTCCTCCATTCTGGACCGAAGGATCCAGTTGGGAGGATCTCGCCTGGGGTTCGCCCTGTGCGACTAAATCCACTGAGTTGGACCTCTCTCTCCCTCTCAGCGTCTCGGATCGCCTCATCTCCCGGTAATCGCCTTTAATCTGAGCCGTTGGATCCACTTGGGTGGTTCCTGGCCGTCCTCTGAGTGTTTCTGCTCGCCGCATATCAACTGGTTGAATCGCCTGCTCTATAGAATCACCCAAAAGGTCTGATCTCGTCCGTCCTCTGAGCGTCTCTGCTCGCCGCATTTCAACTGGATGCAGCTGCCGCTGCTGCCGCTCCAAAGCACCACCCATTAAGTCAGATCTCGCCCTCCCTCTCAGTGTCTCTGCTCGGCGCATTTCAACTGGCTGCTGCTGCTGCAGCAGCTGCTGCTCCAAAGCACCACCCAACAATTCAGATTTCGCCCTCCCCCTGAGCGTCTCAGATCGCCTCATCTCCCGGTAATCGCCTTTCTGGACCGTCGGATCCACTTGGGTGGGCTTAGGCCTCCCTCTAAGTGTTTCTGCTTGGCGCATTTCAACTGGCTGCTGCTGCTGCTGCTGCCGCTGCTGTTCCGAAGCACTAACCCTCAAGTCTGATTGCGCACGTCCTCTGAGCGTCTCTGCTCGCCGCATTTCAACTGGCTGCTGCTGCTGTTGCTGCTGCAGAGCACTACCCCTCATGTCGGATTTAGATGGTCCTCTGAGTGTTTCCGCTCGCCGCATTTCGACTGCCTGCTGCTGCTTCAGATGTTCCACAGCACTACCCCTGAAGTCTGACCTCGGATGTCCTCTGAGTGTTTCCGCTCGCCGCATTTCAACCGCCTGTCTCTGCTGCTCTGCAGCACCACTACCCCTCGGGTCGAATCCCCTGATAGACTGCCCTCTGAGCGTCTCAGCTCGCCTCATTGAAACAGACTGGTCCTGCTGCGAATCTGAAGCCTCAGCACGCGGCTGTGAAGCTAGTCCCTCCAAACGCGTCTGTGGACCAAAGGGTTCTGATATGGCATCTTCCACAACTGACCTCGAACGGGCTCTGATTGTGTCGACCTTTCGCATTACCACAGGCATCGCACACTCACTGGGAGAAGTGGCGGGGGCGCCAGCAATAGCAGTGGGATTGGCACCGGCAAAGGAGTCAGAAGTGCAATTGTCAACGAAAGATTTCGAACGGCCTCTTAGCGCTTTGGCCTCTTGGCGTTTCACAGCTGCAACAGAAGTAGGAGGGACAGCAGCAGATGAGGCGTGATAGGGCATGGCAGCACCAGCAGCAGCACCAGCAGCAGCACCACCAGCACCACCAGCAGCACCAGCAGCAGCAGTGGCAGCAGCGGAAGCAGCACCGTTGAGAGCTACAACTCGAGAGGGCTCCCCCCCAGGTCCTGGAACACCATGATAGCTGCTGGATCTGCGCTGAACAACCCTCGACCTCCCTGCTTTTGCACCCTGCCCCTGCTGCCCTTGCTGCCCCAGCTGCTGCTGCCCTTGCTGCCCCAGCTGCTGCTGCCCTTGCTGCTGCTGCACTCCTGCACCGTTTCTCTCCAAGCTCCCTCCTCTCTCTCCAACTACCACTACCCTCTCTCTCCCCTCCTCGCCTTCCTCTCCCTCCCTCTTCTTGATTCTAGGGGAACTCTTGCTCCTCCTCATACCAGTAACAGGGTAACCAGGGCCTTGACCCGAGCTGCCTTGGTTCGGGGCCTCATGCTCGGCAACCCCCCAGCCTGGGCCACTGGCCTGGTTCGGTGTTGCAGGTACGGAGGCTACCGAACCTCGCTTCTTGGTTCGGGGGAGGGGAGAGCGGGGCGGAAGCCTGTGGGATGCTGGAAGGGGGGAGACACTGCTTCCAGCGTCTAGGGGCCTGCAGGGGAGGGTTTGGGGGGAGAGGGGGAGGGGGATTGGGGGGGGGGGGGGTGTTCAAGGGGGAGGGAGAGCGGGGTGGGAGCCTGTGGGATGCTGGAAGGGGGGAGACACTGCTTCCAGCGGTTAGAAGCCTGCAGAGGGGCCTTTGGGGGGAGGGGGAGGGGGATTTGGGCGGGAAGGGGGAGAGAGGGGGGGTGGGGCCAGGGGGGAGGGAAAGGGATGTGGAAGTTTGTGGGATGCTGGAAAGGGGGAGGCGCTGCTCCCAGCGTATAGGGGCCTGCAGCGGATGATGTGGGGGCGGGGCGGGGGGGGGGGTTGGGGAGGGGGGAGAAAGGGGAAGGTGGGTGGGACTGGTGGGGGGAAACGGGGGCCATTGGGGAGAGAGGGGGAGTGAGACAGGGGGGAGAAGGGAGACATTGGGGAGGAGAAAAGAAAGGTTGATGCAGGGACGAGGCGAGACAGGGGAAAGAAGAGGGGGCCAAGTGGACAGGCAAGCATAGTGGGGAAGACTGTGGGGTTGTGGACGAGGCTAGACGGTGCTTTTAGCAGAACAGAAGGGAGGGTTTCGCAATGGTGTGATATGAGTCAACAAAAAGGCTCAGGGATGGAGGATGGTTCAATCCAAAGGCACGGAACTTATTCGACAACAATAGAAATACTTATTTAAGTGTCTGATCTGCTCCCTATTGCCTTCTCGAACTAGGACTTATTATGCTGCAGGGTGTTTTTGAGAATTCTCAAAAACACCCTTTAAAATTCTCAAGAACGATCCACATGGTCCTTACACGTCACCCTCTTGCACTTGAGCAATGAACGATGAACGATGAACTATGAACGATGAACGTTTCTCGTTCAATAGGGACCAGCACTGTAGTGCCCTCAACCTTTGAGACCTTTTAGAATTCTCAGGGACCATCACCCATCCACACCCATCCAAACCCATCCACACCCATCCATACCCATCCACACCCATGCATACCCATCCACACGAACCACACGAACCACCAACACCACCCATCCACATTGGGACTCACATGTAATACTCGTCATCATCTGCATCCCCCTGCCGTCCAGTCTGCCTCATGCCATCCCCCTCTCTTGCACCGTTGCCATCCCCCTCTCTTGCACCGTTGCCATCCCCCTCTCTTGCACCGTTGCCATCCCTCGCATCATCCCATGCTACCGCCCCATCCACCACCCCCCTGCCGTTCCCCATCCCCCTGCCTTCCCCCATCTTCCCCTCTTCAAGAAACGCCGAGGCATGCCCCTCAAACTCCCCCTCCTCAGTAAACGCCGAGTGATGCCACTCGCGCCAAGTAGGCGAACAAAACTCTGCCTCATCCTCCTCTTCCTCTCCTTCCTCCCCCCCTTCTGCTCCTTCCTCCTCCTCCTCTCCTTCCACTCCTTCCTCTCCTCTTCCCACCGCCCTCTCCCCTCTCCACCCCTCCCACCCTAAACCCTCCTCCTCCCCCTCCTCCCCAATCTCTACCCCTTCCCAGTCCATCCCACAGCTAGGCCCAGGCGAAGGACTTGGGGAGGGCACTTCCAGAGATAACACCTGCGCCCTGCCAGTTGCACCTCCCCCAGATAGCACCTGCGCGGGTTCCGCCGCCCTCATCATAGATCCTCCTCCTACCACCTGCGACCTCGGCACTGGCGGTTCGATAAATAGCACCTCAGGTGGGTGCTGTAACCTCATCTCGCCCTCCTGTGGTTCAACAAATAGCACCTCTGCTGGGTGGTGAATCGTCACCTCTCCATCCCCTCCCTCTGTTGAATGGAGAATCATCATTTCAAAAGACAGCTCCTGCGTTTCTCTCCCTCCTGCGTTTCCCTCCTGAACGCCAGCAGACTCCGTTTTAGATGTACCTGCACCAGACCTACCTCCCCCTGGGCTTATCCCTGCAGCACCTGCACAAGCTCTACCTACCCCTGGGCTTATCCCTGCCCCTGCACCAGATCTACCGCCCCCTGGACTCATCACTCCACCTAGACTAGATCTACCTCCCCCTGGACTTATCCCTGCACCAGAATCAGATCTACCTCCCCCAGGACTCACCACTCCATTACCTCCCCCTGCTGCTCCCGGACTGGCTCCCCCACCTCCCCCTCCCCTTCTCCTTCCCCCTCCCCCTCCCCCTCCCCCTCCCCCTCCCCCTCCCCCTCCGCCTCCGCCTACCCCCGGACTAAACACAGGCGCAGCCCCTACAGAGGGCGTAGGCGGGCGCCCCCCGCGCCTCCCCTTCCCCCTGCCGCCCTTCCGCCCAGGAGTGGCCACAGCAGCAGCAGTGCCGGGCGCCCTGGGAGTGGTAACCGCCATGGTGGTGAGCGGTACCATGCGGTTCCGCATGGTGTGGGACCTCCGGGTGTATAATGCGGAAGCGAATATCCCTGCTGCTACTGCGTCTGCCGGTGACAGGTCAGATGCGGCTGACGTGTCACCTGCTGCTGATGCTGCCAGCTCAGCAGCTGCCAGGTCAGCAGCCACGTCAGCACCTGAGAGGTTCTGAGCTTCAGCGCGCCACCTGAATTCTCTCCTGTACTCCCCCTCCCCTCCTCTCCCTCCCCCTCCTCGTAGGTTCTGACTGCTACAGTCACTGCCATAAGATTCGGTTCGGGAAAAGATGCTGCCGAACGTGCTGTCGAAGCTACCAGGCGGGCTCGGGGAAAACCCAACTACTCGTCCAAACAAGGTTTGGGACCTCCGAGCCTGAAACGCAGCCTTGACAGCCGCCATGTCCCCCTCTACTTCTCCCTCTGCTCCCCTCTCCCTCCCCCCTTCTAACCGCCGAGCTTCTTCCCCTTCCCCCTCCCCTTCCCCTTCCGCTTCCCCTTCCCCTACCCTTTCGCCTCCCCCTCCCCCGTCCCCCTCCCCTCTCCCCCCGTCCCATCCGCGCAGCTCCATAGATGCGCTGCTGGCGGTAGCAGCACGCACGAACCTCCGCCGATGGCCCCCCGCCCGGCTGTAGCGCGGCGCGCTGCTGCTAGAAGAACTCCGCGCTACAGCCGCCGCGGCTGTAGCGTCACTCGCGACTGCAGCGGCGGCCGCCGAGCTTTGACTCCTGGGTACTACAACCATCGCGTCGCCAGCAGCCGCGGCGCCGTCGCACGCTCCTGAAACGATCGAGTTTGTAACAGACCCGTTTGTAGCATATCCGCTTGAAGCAATAATTTGGCTCTCGGGCATCACGCTGACGGCGGTATCCGTAACGTCGTGATTGGTTGTCGACCCTGAGCTAGTTACAGAAATACCACTAATGGAGACGCCACTAATGGAGACGCCACTAACGGAGACGCCACTATCGGAGACAGTACCACCAAACTGACGCGGCTGATACGACTGCATAGCCGTCCACGCACCAATCCCGTTCTGCTGCAGCGCATCTCGGCGGTCCGATTCTATCCCTTTTTCATCGCCGCCGTCTGTCTGATCCACCCAAGTAGCTAGACTTCCCGCTTCCGCCGCCTCCCACACATCGTGAATTGGCGCCTCGGGGAGACAGTTAGCATCCGCGCTCCGGCTCGTAATCCGCTGCACAAACTGCTTCCGCCGAGACACGTGCCCCTTCCGTGCATCGTCCTTCCGCGCTCCCCCTTTCCGTGCATCTTGCGCCGATCCCTGCGCTTCTCCGCGCGCCTTCCCCTGCGACGCCTTCAACTGTCCGTTCCGCGGAACTTCCGCCTCTTGCGCCGCGGGCCATCCTTGCGCGTCGCCGTGCGCTTGCGCTTGCGCTTCCCCCTGCTGCGCCTGCGCGCCCTGCCAGAGCGACAGCTGGCGCACCCACTCCAGGTGATGCGGGGACTTGGGGCGCAGCGCGGGGGGACCCTCGCGGAGCGGGCGCTCCGCGGGGGATTTACGCGCCTGCTCCACGGAAGACTTGCGCGGGAGGAATGAGGGGAGCGAGGTCTTGCGCTCGAGGAGGGAAGACACGTGACTCGGCGCGGGGCCGACGGAAGAGCACGCGGGGATGGCGGAAGGAAGGGCGGTTTTTGGGCGTTCTAGCGGCGGCGCGCCGCGCTCTTCTTTGCTGCTGCTGCGGAGCAGCGGCAGCTGCCGCAGGATGCGAGGCATGGCGGACGGCTAGCCGGCAGCTGATCTGTAGTTAATGTAGGAACTGTCGGATGTTTAAAAGCGGCCGTCAGGGGGAATGGTAGTACCGGTGGAGACCTTTGCCGGCCCTGGTTTCAATTGTACTGATTCTGCAAATTCCCTGCCCCAGCCTGCTACGCAGAGCGCCATCGCGATTGCGAAAACAAGAGCGCGTTACCTATGTCGCTGGAATTCGCTAAATGGGCGTGTTTTAACTTGTGCAGAGCATCCGACTTTTTCAAAATAGCCTGTCCCTTCAAATCGTCTCTTCTAAAACAGCGCCTCCCTAAATCGCCGGTACATTCTAGCATTCTGTTGAGCAGACTCAAACTGCGGTCCGGAACTATTAACGCGCTAAGCGACGGTTTCTACCGCGTCGAACACTCGCGATTTCCTTCACATCCGGCTTGCCGAATACCAATTCTCCAGGCATCAATCGCCTACTGACTTCCCCAAGACTGCTGCATCTCCGTTTCCGCGACAGGAATGTGCCATGCTACGGTATGCTTTCAAATCGAGGGACGGAGGCAAGGCAGGCACTCGAAGGGAAGAGCAGGGTGGAAGCAAACACGGATGGCTTTAAACCCTGAACAGAAAACGGAAGGGAACGAAGCACAGAAATGATCATGGAGTTCGTCCCTTGGCTTGGTCCTCTTTTCTCCATTGGGAACTGCTGGGTGTGTGCGAGTGCTGCGCTGCGAATGAGTTGTAACCAGAAGCTACTGTACAATCGAGGCAAACGTCCTTGTTTTGCGCTGACTGTACCTTCTGAAGGTGATTTTGTGTTCCGAGGTGGATACGTGTACTGTACATGTAGCTGGTTTCATTTTGCCAATTTTAGCGAATTTGTGCGTGTACAGTATAAGAAGATGGCTCGCCACCTCATGAGTGACCACGCAAATCGGGCAGTCAAAACGTTTGACTTCATGCCTTTGTCCTTTGCTTTGAAATTTGACGTGGGTGGCATTGTCTGAAAGAGCTAGGATGATCTCGAGGATAATGCCAAACAGTGTCAACTACCACCTGGTGTTTTGTGTGGCCCACAAAAGGTTCAACAGCCGTACACGCCGCACTGCGCGAAATCGCGTGAAGATGAGTGGGCGAAAACTTTTGCCGTTCGCAAAGCAGCAGCTGCCAAGCCACATTGCCAAGGTGTTACAAGACGAGTCTTAAAAAATAGGAAACGAGGAACTTCTAGGACACCCTCGCAACACCCGTATGGTAGTGATCATTGCTCGCTACTACAATAGGTACTTGATGCCACGAGAGGATTCTCCACTACAATGATCATGTAAAGGTGCATTTACATCAAACTTGAGAATGGAAAATACCTCCTCCCTCCCACACCCGGGCAGCAGCATTTCCAGTGCAGTTTGATCCATAGTCTGCAGCAGCCGCCTGACAATCTCCTCCACCTCCATCCTGCCCCATCCTGCCCCATCCTGCTGCATCCTATCACTTGAAACTCCCGCCACCATCCTTTTCCTGCCTCCCGCCACCTCCGGCCTCTTCCCTCCCATACCCCAAGAGTCGTTCCAGTGCAGTTTGGCCCGTAGTCTGCAGCAGCCGCCTCTCATCCTCCTCCTCCTCCATCCTGCCCCATCCTGCTGCATCCTATCACTTGCCACTCCCACGACCATCCTTCTCCCGCCCCCCACCCCCTCCCGTCTCCTCTCTCCCATACCCCAGCAGCCGCTCCAGTGCAGTTTGATCCATAGTCTGTCATCCCGGTTGGTGCCGCACCCAGTTGGTGCATCCATTCACTTACCGTTCACTGTTAATTGTTATGGTCCATAGTCTGCAGCATCTGTCTGTCATCCTCCTCCTACTCTTCCATCCTTCTCCTCCTCCTTCATCCTCCTCTTCCTTCATCAATCACTTGCCATTCCCACCGCCATCCTTTTCCTGCCTCGTCTCATCTCTCCCATACCCCAGCAGCCGTTCCAGTGCAGTTTGATCCATAGTCTGCAGCAGCTGCCTGTCATCCTCCTCCTCCTGCTGCTCCTGCTGCTGCATCACCAGCTGCATCACCAGCTGCATCACCAGCTGCATCACCAGCTGCATCACCAGCTGCATCACCAGCTGCATCACCAGCTGCATCACCAGCTGCATCACCAGCTGCATCACCAGCTGCATCACCAGCTGCATCACCAGCTGCATCACCAGCTGCATCACCAGCTGCATCACCAGCTGCATCACCAGCTGCATCACCAGCTGCATCACCAGCTGCATCACCAGCTGCATCACCAGCTGCATCACCAGCTGCATCACCAGCTGCATCACCAGCTGCATCACCAGCTGCATCACCAGCTGCATCACCAGCTGCATCACCAGCTGCATCACCAGCTGCATCACCAGCTGCATCACCAGCTGCATCACCAGCTGCATCACCAGCTGCATCACCAGCTGCATCACCAGCTGCATCACCAGCTGCATCACCAGCTGCATCACCAGCTGCATCACCAGCTGCATCACCAGCTGCATCACCAGCTGCATCACCAGCTGCATCACCAGCTGCATCACCAGCTGCATCACCAGCTGCATCACCAGCTGCATCACCAGCTGCATCACCAGCTGCATCACCAGCTGCATCACCAGCTGCATCACCAGCTGCATCACCAGCTGCATCACCAGCTGCATCACCAGCTGCATCACCAGCTGCATCACCAGCTGCATCACCAGCTGCATCACCAGCTGCATCACCAGCTGCATCACCAGCTGCATCACCAGCTGCATCACCAGCTGCATCACCAGCTGCATCACCAGCTGCATCACCAGCTGCATCACCAGCTGCATCACTTGCCGCTATCACCACCACTCCTCTTCTGCCTCCCAGTCACACCCGTCTCCTCCCTCCCATACCCCAACAGCCTTTCTAACGCAGTTTGATCCATAATCTGCAGCAGCCGCCTGCCATCCTCCTCCTCCTCCATCCTCCTCCTGCTACTGCTTCTCCTGCTCCTGCTGCTGCTGCTGCTGCTGCTCCAGCTGCATCACTTGTCGCTATCACCACCATCCCACTTCTGGCTCCCACACACTCCCGTCTCCTCCCTCCATACCCCAGCAGCCGTTCCAGTGCAGTTTGGTCCATAATCAGCAGCATCTGTCTGTGAACCTCCTAGGCTCCTCCTCCTCCACCTCCGTCCTCCCCCATCCTGCTGCATCCTATCACTTGCCACTCCCACCGACGTTCTTTTCATGTCTCGTCTCCTCTCTCCCATACCCCAGCAGTCGTTCCAGTGCAGTTTGGCCCATAGTCTGCAGCAGCCGCCTGTCATCTTCCTGCTCCTGCTCCTGCTGCTGCTCCTGCTCCTCCTACTCCTCCTACTCCTGCTGCTGCATGAATCACTTGCCAATCCCACCACCATCCTTCTCCTGCCTCCCACTAACTCCCCTCTCCTCTCTCCCATACCCCAGCAGCCTCTCCAGTGCAGTTTGGTCCATAGTTTGCAGCAGCCGTCTGTCATCATCCTCCTCCTCTTGCTGCAACCTCGCTTTAGCCTGCTCCGCTACACTCTCAGCCAGAGCCTTTGCTGCCTCCTCCTGCCACGCGGACAGCAGTCATTGGTCGAGAAAAGAAGTGCAGCCATTGGTTGGCAAAAGAGGCATGAAGATAATAATGGTGGAACAACGGTCAAGCAAGGCACAGGATTCTCAAAAGTGATAGTGGTAGTGCTAAAACTCCGCAAGGTCCTATTTCCTTCGCTTTCTGATATTTCTTGTATCGCTTGCTGAGGACTCTTGTCCAGAAAGGTCACGTGAAGCAAGGCAAGAACTTTGTTGACAAAGTGCGAGTGTGATGTGACGAGTGCGAGTGCAAGGCAAAGCAAGGCGTGTGAGGCCTGCTACTCCACTATGAGCTTGAATCTTTAAGATTCTTGCACAGAAAGCTTATGCGAAGCGTAACTTTGTAGACATGGCTTTCTGAAGAACGCGAGTGCGAGTGCGAGGCATGACGTGTGATGCAACCCTTTTTTGGGCGCCTCAGAAACGATATCTGTGACAGTGTCACAAGTGTTGCGAGTGTGTTACGTGTTACAAAACAAACTGCAACTTGAGTGTCATCGGTTGGCCGATGATACCAATATCCCATGCTCACTGTATATACACCATGCTCCCATCCGTTGCCATTCCCTTCCCCCACCTGTCACCACCATCCCCCACCTGTCACCACCATCCCCCACCTGTCACCACCGTCCCCCACCCCACACCATCTCCCCACCCCTCACCATCCCCCCACCCCTCACTGTCCCCCCACCCCTCACTGTCCCCCCACCCCTCACTGTCCCCCCACCCCTCTCTATACTCCCACCTCTCACCATTCCCCTCACCCCTCACCACTCGCTGCATCTCCCCCACCTATCGACCCACCTTCTCGGTATGGTCATCTTTTCACCGCATTCCACCACCCACCACCACCCCTCACCATGCCATCGAGCTGTATAAGAACCTCTTCACCGCATTCCACCACCCACCACCACCCCTCACCATGCCATCGAGCTGTATAAGAACCTCTTCACCGCATTCCACCACCCACCACCACCCCTCACCATGCCATCAAGCTGCTGCTTCAGCTGCTGCATCTCCCCCACCACTCGCCTCACATACCTTTCCACCGCATTCCACCGCCCACCACCACCCCTCACCATGCCATCGAGCTGCTGCTTCAGCTGCTGCATCTCCCCCACCACTCGCCTCACATGCTCCAACGCCGTTTCCTCCACCACCTGTTGTTGCGCCACTCGCAGGGCTCTCAGCTGAATAAACAGGCATGCGGAACAAGAGAGAGGAAGGAGGAGAGACGGTGCCAACATAGTGAGCAAGCAAACACTCCCCCACCACTCGCCTCGCATGCTCCAACGCCGTTTCCTCCACCACCTGCTGCTGCGCCACTCGCAGGGCCCTCAGCTCAGCAGACTGGGTTTTGGGTTGAGAGGAGGGAAGGAGAAGGAGGAGGGAAAGAGGAGAAGGAAGAGAGAGTGAGAGGCAGTGTCTCCTCCACCCATTCTGCCCCACACCCATTCTGCTCGCCCTGTAGAGAATACTCAGAAATGAATCCAGCCGGCCCATTTTGAGAAATCTCAGAAAGTGATCCTGTCTTCCTGTCAGCAAACGCCCACACAGGCATCCCACACAACCAGTCATCACCGTTCCTAACCGAACCACATGCCTCTCGCATGCGTATCCAGCACGCTGCTTTTGAGACAAGTCTCACCATAGCGCCTTGGATCTGCTCTCGCGCGCGCGCGCGTATGTGAGACAACTCTCACCGTAGCGCCTTCAAGCTGCACTCGTGTGCAGATGCCGCTCCCAGTACTGCTGATCCAGGCGCCTCTTGTGCGCGCGCGGGTGCGCGTGCAAGTGTGCGTGGGCGCGTGCGGGTGCATGTGCGTGTGGAAGTGCCACCGTAGCGCAAATCTGCACTCGTGTGTGTGCAGGTGCCACGTGCTCCCAGTACTGCTGATCCAGGCGCCTCTTGTGCACGCGCAGGTGCGCGGGTGCGTGTGCGAGTGTGAGAGTCCCAGCTTAGCCACTCCGAATAGCAATCTCATACGACCAATCCTCACCGCTTCATACCGGACCAGGTGACTGTGGTACTGCTTTTGAGAAGCCTCACCTTGCGGATTCGAATCGCAGTCTCTTTGTCTGTCGTACCGGCTCCAGGTCTCCCCTCCCTGTGAAAAACACCCACGCATCCCACCCACACGTGCATCCCCACACAACCAGTCCTCACCGCTTCGTACCGGACCAGATGCCTCTACTATGCTGTGTGTCACCTCAGCGGCTTCAAACTGCAGTCGCTTCGTCTGTCGCGCTAGCTCCGAGTCCCCCCTCCCCGTGAAGAACACCCATGCGTGCCCCACCGCTTCGTAACGGACCAAATGCCTTGCGTGCACGCGTGCTTGTCTCACCTTAGCCGCTTCGAATTGAAAACGCTTCGTCTGTCGCGCTAGCTCCGAGTCCCCCCGCCCCGTGAAGAACACCCACGCATTCCACCCACACGACCGGTCTTCACCGCTTTGTATCGGATCAGATGCCCCTCGTGTGCGTATCCAATACTCACTTTTGCCGCTTCGAATTGAAGACGCTTCGTCTGCCGCGCTAGCTCCGAGTCCCCCCCCCCGTGAAGAACATCCACTCGTGCATCCACTTGTACCAGACCAGATGCCCCTCGTGTGCATATCCAACGCTAACCTTAACGGCTTCGAACTGCAGTCGTTTCGTCTGTCGCGCTAGCTCTGAATCACCCCTCCCCCGTGAAGAGCACCCACGCATCCCACCCACGCGTGCATCCCACAAGACCAGTCCTCACCGCTTCTCGCCGGACCAGATGCCTCTACTGTGCGCATCTCACCTTAGCGGTTTCGAACTGCAATCGCTTCGTCTGCCGGACTAGCTCCGAGTCCCCCCTCCCCGTGAAGAACACCCACGCGTCCCACCCCACACGTTCATCGTGCACGACCAGTCCTCACCGCTTCTCGCCGGACCAGATGCCTCTACTGTGCGTGTCTCACCTTAGCGGCTTCGAACTGCAATCTTTTCGTCTGTCGCGCTAGCTCCGAGTCCCCCCGTCCCGTGAAGAACACCCACGCGTCGCGCACCATACGCAGCGCTCGAATCATCACGACCTTCCGCGATCTCCGCGATTGCCGCGAATGCGATCGCGATTCAGAAGCATGCAGAAACGTGCAGAAAATAAAGCACTAGGGGCCGGACTGTGCATGCGCCTTGTCTCTTTAACGCCAACGTGCAGAGAAGAAAGCACGTTCACGTTGGCGTTCACGGTGCGCGACGCGTGGCCAGGCTAACGGTTGTGAGAATTCTCAAAAGCGACAGCACGTTCACTCCTCCTCGGGCTCCCTCTCTCGTCTCAGTCCCTGCTATCTTCGAATAACTAATTCGGTCCCTGCTATGTTCGAATCACTGATTCCAAGGATTCCCAGCCAAAAGTGGCACTTTTGAAAATTCTCAAAGTCCTCCCAGTCCCCTGATATCCCTCCCCCTCTCCCCGCCTCGCCTTTCCTCTTTCTCGCCAATCCCCACACCACCCTCGTTCTGCTGCGTCTGCCTTTTCGCTCTGGTGGGGCGTACTGAGCGAAACGGCGGCGAACAAAGAGAGCGATGTAAGCCTCAGATTTTGGCGGAATCGGGGTGCGCGGAGGGCGGGTGAGGTGAGGAGCTAGACGGGTGGAGCGGCGGGTGGTGCGGGTGCTGCGGGTGGTGCGGGTGCTGCTGGTGGTGCGGGTGCTGCGGACTCCGCTGTGTGTGGTTTATCCAGATCAGTACTATGACTGCGACGTGGGCAGTACGGGGCGGGTGATGTGAGGTGGTAGTGGTGCGGGGTGGTGCAGGACGGTGCGGGGTGTTGCAAGGCGGTGCAGGTTGGTGCGGGCTGGTGCGGGGTGGTGCGGGAGTCGTATCTAGAGAGCGGGTTGTGTCAGAACGCAAGGTTGTACAGTATTGCTTCCGATTCCCAAAACCGCGCTGCAGAGTTACTGTACTCGTTAGAGACACTTCAGCCAAGAAACAGGTTTGAGGAAACACTATTACTCAATTTGACATACGAGTAGAATGCAGTCATAACATCACCACATGATGATAACATTTGTCAAAGGACTTTGAAGAAGGATATGACTGAAAGATGAATTTAGACGGGAATAATTGTCCTTAGTACTTCATTATGAGATTTAATTGCACAGCTTTCGATGGTTGTGCGTCACATCTTTCATATTTTGTCTTATACTATTCCGTTCATCGTGGTTTTTGCTTTGTTTGAAACGAGTTTCATGGTAAGAAGGATATGACCCGTAACGTGTGGCTGGCGTTATTGGGCCAGCCACAAGCGATTTTTCGCGCGGCGAGGCCAGCCGGCCCCCTGTTTTCCCGCCCCCTGTATGGCGAATGTGCCTTCTGTCCGTGGAAAGGGGAGTTCACCGAGGATTTCTCGTTCGTTTACAAACGGTTCATTCCGGTGCACAGTAGTCCAAGGGGGTGTCTGAAGTGAACGTCGCTGAAGAGCACAAATTGCTCTCGAACGTCTTTGACCCTTTAGACGAGCCGTTGACCTGCCCCCTGCGGTTGGGGGTTTGGGTGAAAACAGGGCAAACCTCCCCCTACCCCACCATCCTGTCCGACACGGCAACAAAACAGCTCCTCTGTACGGTGCAGAGGGGTAATAAAGTGCGTTTCTACGGTTCTTCGGCCACCCATTCAATTTCCTTTCATGGTGTGTGTGAAGTGGAGTGGGGTGGAGCGGACGTGGTGCAGTGGCACAAACACGTACGACTCGCCTGGGCGTGGTGTGTCTTGAGTCAGTCTCGGGCTCAGTCAGACCATTCACAAGCGGAAAAGCCTGCAGCAGCTGGCAGCTTTGGTCCTTCGTCTTCTCTGTTCCTCTGGAGTTCTCTCGTTTGTTTCCTTGCATTGCCTAGAAGCTAAGTCCGAATATTTCCCAGAAGTCTGATTCCTCCGTCAATTACTATTTACCTTATCACAAGCTCTTTGTCGCATCGCGGCCCGCCATCCCGTGCAGTTAAGGGATTTCATGCCAGTTCCAGTGCCGAGGCATCTCGATTTGTTGCTTGACTCGATGATTGCCGAGGCATCGCGCCGCCTTTGAAGCCAAACATTTCCAAGGCTGATTTTTACATCGTTCGGCCGAGTTAGGTTTCCTCGGATCACTCTATTTAGTCTTAGAAGTTCTCAAGGTCTGTTCTCGGGTCTGTAGGCGCCTCAAAGACATTTCCAGGGCCATTCGTGACGCCGTCCGAGTTAGGGTTTCTTGAATTGTTTAAAAAAAAATCTCAAAAGTTATCCAAGCAAGACCTAGGTAGGAAACTGATCGTCTGGTTGACTCAGCTTTTCCATATCGCCGAAGCAACAAGGGCTTTTCAGTTGGGCTATCCACTCAACCCAACTAGGTCCTGCCCGAGCAATTGTGGCTTGTTAGATAAGAGTCTTCCCTGGACCTAATTACGACGAGCCACGTCAGCCAGCAATGGACGGGTCAAGCCCAGAAGCCGGGAGACGGCCGCCGCAGCAGGAAGAGACCCTTCTCTCGCCGCTTCTGTCGCCGCGTTTGTCGCCGATTAGACAGCCGGTAGGCGACGGCGTCGCACGGGTCACTCAGCGATTCCCGCAGGTGCTTTCACTTCGAAGCGCGATCGAGGAGAGCGCGAAGGAGAAGGAGGAGGAGCATCCGTGGCTGGATAGCAGTTTCCGTGGCGTCGCGAATGGCGCCGCGAAAGGCGCATCTGGCGCCACGTCAGCAGCGGCGGAAGAGGCGGATCCGACGGAGCTCAGCAGCGTGCCCGACGATTGCCTGATCCTGATTTTCCGGAAGCTTTCCTCGGCTGATCTGAACCGTTGCTCTCTCGTATGCCGACGGTGGAAAGAGTAAGTAGATGGGGAGGCGAGGGTAAATGTTGGGGAGAAGTGGGAAGAACAGGGGTGGGACGGGGGGAGGGGAGAGGGGGAGCGACGAGGGGGAGGGGAGAGGGGGAGCGACGAGGGGAGAGGGGGGGAGGGGGAGGGGAGGGGGAGCGACGAGGGGGAGGGGAGAGGGGAGGGGCGACGAGGGGGAGGGGAGAGGGGGAGCGACGAGGGGGGGGGGAGGGGGAGCGACGAGGGGGAGGGGAGAGGGGGAGCGACGAGGGGGAGGGGAGAGGGGGAGACGAGGGGGGACGAGGGGGAGGGGAGAGGGGAGCGACGAGGGGGGGGGGGGGGGGAGAGGGGGGGACGGGAGGGGGAGGGGGGGAAAGGTAACGCAAACTTTTCCGACAACATGTCGCTCACACTCTCCTTATGCGTTTGCGATTGGGGCTTGCATAGTTGAACCGGGGGACAAAAAGCTTCCCCCTCTTCCCTCTCTTCCCTCTCTTCCCCCTTTTCCCCCTCTTCCCCCTCTTCCCCATTTTCCCCCTCTTCCCCCTCTTCCCCCTCTTCCCCCATCTTCCCTCTCTTTCCCCTCACCTCACCTCTGTTCCCGCTCGACCCTCGTTCTCCTCCCCTTTGCGCCCACTCCCGTGTTCCCCCCCTCCCTCTTTCCCCATCTTCCTTCCCCCTTCGCCCTTCCCCCTCCCACCCTTGTTCCCTTTACCGGTAGCATCACGGTCTGCTGTTTCAGTGTATGCCCGTCTCTCCGTTCCCTTCTTTTCTTCCTCTTCTTCTCTGCCCCTGCACCCCTCTCCGCCCATTTCTCATCCCTTTCCACCCCTATCCACCCCTCTCGAACCCTCCCCCTACAGCCTCGACGCGTCCTCTCGTGCGCGCATGGCTCTGCGCGCCTCCTTCCACCTCTCCCCCCTCCTCCCCGCGCTCCTCCTCCGCTTCTCCGCCCTCCAGCGCCTCACCCTCCGCTGCGACCACCCCCCGCCCGCCCTCCTCGCGCCCGCGGGGGAAGGGGGAAGCAGCGGCGCGGGGGGAGGCGGCGGCGGAAGAGAGGGCGCGGGGGGGGCAGGCGGGGGAGGGGACTACCAGTACTATCACTATCAGCAGGCGCATCAAATTGGGGGAGGCGCAGGCGGAGGGGGAGGCGGAGGGGGGGGGTATGCGGGCGCGTATGTGTGTGGGGGGATGGGGAGGAAGCCTAATCCGGCGAGGAGCATAGGGGACACAAGTCTGCAGCTCATAGCTCGCACACTGCCCCAACTTAAAAAGCTGGATCTGCGCAATTGCCTCGAGGTATGGTGTTTCTCTCCAGACGGTTTGGCTTGACCCGAGGTGAGGACACGTGGGGTTTGCAGTGCAGAAAGGAGGCCTGAGGTGAGGAGCATAGGAGACACGAGTCTGCAGCTCATAGCTCGCTCTCTGCCCCAACTCAAGAAGCTGGATCTGCGCAACTGCTTAGAGGTATGTCCCTTCTGTCCTGGAGGGGGGTATGCAGGCGCGTATGTGTGTGGGGGGATGGGGAGGAAGCCAAATCTGGCGAGGAGCATAGGGGGCACGAGTCTGCAGCTCATAGCCCGCTCTTTGCCCCAACTCAAGAAGCTAGACCTGCGCAAATGCCTCGAGGTATGTCCCTTCTGTCCTGAAGGGGGGTATGCTGGCGCGTATGTGTGTGGGGGCATGGGGAGGAAGCCTAATCTGGCGAGGAGCATAAGGTACACGAGTCTGCAGCTCATAGCTCGCGCTCTGCCCCAACTCAAGAAGCTGGGCCTGCGCAACTGCCTCGAGGTGCGTCCCTCCAGCCCAGGCAGAGCACCTTAAGTGAGGAGCATAGGGGACACGAGTGTGCAGGTAATAGCTCGCTCTCTGCCCCAACTCAAGAGCACAGGTTGTGAGACGACTCAGGAATCATGCAGGCTGGCAGTCGTGTGCGCCTGCACAAAAGCCCCTTCGTTCACTCACTCACCAAGTGACGGACGGGGGTATGGAGGCAATTACTCGTTCATGCCACACACTGACGGACGGGGGTATGGAGGCAATTACTCGTTCATGCCACACACTGACGGACGGGGGTATGGAGGCAATTACTCGTTCATGCCACACACTGACGGACGGGGGTATGGAGGCAATTACTCGTTCATGCAGAAGTGGATGAACCCCTTCGGAAGTGTGTGGCATGGCACTGCAAACTTTCCTCCCTTTCTGCCCTCTTCCCTGCGCTCTTTGAACCCCTTCGTTCACTTACCAGGTGACGGACGCGGGTATGCAGGCAAAGCAATCGCTCGCTCGTGCGCGGGGGATGCACAAGTTTGTGTGTAGCCAGCAATTATCCGTTCACTTGATTACCTTTCCTTCCTTGCTCTTGTCTGCTGCCATTCATCCCCACCAGGTGACGGATGCAGGCATGGAGGCAATTGCGCGCTATATTGAAATCAGTTTTGAGAATTCTCAAAAGTAATTTCAATGTAGCCCCTGCATGGGACTGCACAAGTTTGTGTGTGGCGGACAAGTACCGGTTCGGTTCGGTGTGCTCTCTCCGGTCACTCCTTTCCTCTTCCATTCATCCCTGCCAGGTGACGGACGCGGGCATGGAGGCAATCACGCGCTCCTGCAGAGGCCTGCACAAGTCTGTGTGTGGCGGAAAACTACCGGTTCACAGCATCACCGTCCTTCCTTGCTCTTGTGTGCTGCTCTGCCATTCATCCCCACTCACCAGGTGACGGACGCAGGCATGGAGGCCATCGCTCGCTCCTGCGCTGGCCTCAACAAGTTTGTGGCGGACAACTACCGGTTTGGCGGCAAGGGCATTGCTTCTTCTCTCTTTCTGCTCTCTCCAATCCCCTTCTTTCACCAGGTGACAGACGCAGGCATGGAGGCAATCGCGCGCTCCTGCACTCGCCTGCTCAAGTTTGTGTGAGGCGGACAATTATTTGTTCACAGGATAACCCATCCCCTTCCTCCTGTGGGATATGCATTCCCAATCCCCTTCTTCCACACCACCAGGTGACAGACGCAGGTATGGAGGCAATCGCGCGCTCCTGCACGGGCCTCAACAAGTTTGTGGCCGACAACTACCGGTTTGGCGGCAAGGGCATTGCAGCACTGCTGCTGCACTGCACGGAGCTGAACGACCTCACTCTCGTGAACAGGTAGGTCTCGGTCGGTGTTGGTGTGTGTGCGTTGGTTGGTGCCAGTTATTGCTTGGCGGCAAGGGCATTGCAGCACTGCTGCTGCACTGCGCTGAGCTCAGCGATCTCACTCTCGTGAACAGGTGGGGTGGGGACCCATGTGCACAGGTGGTGAGGCAAGTCCTGGTGTGTGCAGCGCTTGCTATTGCTTGGCGGCAAGGGCATTACAGAGCTGTTGCTGCACTGTACAGAGCTCGCTCTCGTGAACAGGTGGGGTGGGGACCCATGTGCACAGGTGGTGAGGCAAGTCCTGGTGTGTGCAGCGCTTGCTATTGCTTGGCGGCAAGGGCATTACAGCGCTGTTGCTGCACTGTACAGAGCTCGCTCTCATGAACAGGTGGGGTGGGGACCCATGTGCGCAGGTGGTGAGGTGAGTCCTGGTTGGTTGGTGTGTGTGGCGTTTGTTTGTGTTTGGCGGCAAGGGCATTGCGGCGCTGCTGCTGACCTGCACTGAGCTGAACAATTTGACTCTTGTTCACAGGTAGGTGGGGATGCGAGTAGGGGTATGTTGTGCTGTGTCCACTGCACCGGACTGCACCGGACTGCAACGGACTACACCGGACTGCACTGTGGTTGTTGTTTGGCGGCAAGGGCATTGCGTCGCTGCTGCTGCACTGCACTGAACGATCTGACTCTCGTGCACAGGTGGGGTGGTGATGCGTATGTAAGCCTCTCCCCATGCCCGTACCCTCCAAGCAACCCCTCCTGCTCGAATCTGACTCCACCTTCCCTCTAAATCAAATCAAACCCACTCCCTCCTCTCCCTCTCTCTTTCCCGCTCCCTCTCTTTCCCCCCACTTCCCCACCAGTGCCAGTGCAAATCAGCCTCTCCCCATTCTCCCACCCTCCAAGCAACCCCCCCTCCTGCCCGCCTCACTCCCCACCTCCCTCGCCCTCCGCCGCCTGTGCCTCAAGGACCAACGGAATGCGTTTTGAGTCGACCAAAAACGCGCCTCTGCCTCAAGGGACCAACCAACGTGTGATGGAGGAGCGTGAGGGGTCTCTGCCACGCATCAAACGCAGTCTCTCTCCCCTTTCCACCCGCACCCTCTCTCTGTTTTGCATTTCCCCCTCCCCCTCCCTCCCCTCCCACCAGTGCCAGTGCGGGTCAGCCCCTCCCCATTCCTGCACCGTCCAAGCAACCCCCGCTCCTGCCCACCACCCTCGCTCTCCGCCGCCTGTGCCTCAAGGACCAACGGAATGCCGCCATGTGGCAGCCTATCATGGAGGCGTGTGGGGGGAGGGAGCCTGGAGTGGAGACTCGAGGACCAACGCATCATATGCACGTTCTTCCCTTGCCTGCTTACCTCCCTCTGTTCTTCCTCCCTCCCACCCTTTGTCTCTGTGTTCTTTGTCCCTTCCCCCCCCCCCTGCACCTCCCCTCCCCCACCAGTGCCAGTGCAGGTCAACCCCTCCCCATGCCCGCACCCTCCAAGCAACCCCCTCTCCTGCCCGCCTCGCTCCCCACCACCCTCGCTCTCTGCCGCCTGTGCCTCAAGGACCAACGGAATGCTGCCATGTGGCAGCCTGTCATGGAGGCGTGTGGGGGGAGCCTGGAGACGCTCATTCTGGGGCGCAACATGGGCAGCTGGGACGTGGCACTTGAGGGGCTGGTTGCACGGAGCAAGACAGCCGTGTTGAGACAGGTGAGAGGAGTAGAAAGGGTTCGGAATGAGACTGGGTTTGGAAGGGGTGTGGAGGAGAGAGGAGGCGTGTGGGGGCAGCCTGGAGACGCTCATTCTGGGGCGCAACATGGGCAGCTGGGACGTGGTTCTTGAGGGTCTGGTTGCAAGAAACAAAACATGTCCTCCGCCTAGTTCCACCATGAGACGAGCATTCTGCACTAGATGGGGGCACGCCCTGTCCTGTAGTGCCCCCTCCTCTCCCGGTATTCTCCACACCATAACGATTGTTCAGCTCACCTCGTTTTCAACTCTCCCCTTCCTCGCCATTCCCCTCTTCAGTTGCTCGTGGAGAAGACCCTCTTGTCGGACCGTCCCCTGCATGGCCTGGCCCATTGCCCTCATCTGGAGCTCATAGGCGTCGTGCACTCGACGCACTGCACACAGTGGTCCCTCAACTCACCTTATTCTCCACTCTCTCCTTGCCGTCCCCCCTTCAGGTGCTCGTGGAAAGGCAATCTTATTGGACCGCGCCCTACACGCCCTGGCCCAGTGCCCGAACCTCGAGCTCATGAGCATCGTGCACTCGCCACTATTCCTCCCCTCCCCCTTTCCCTTTTCAGCTTCTGGTGGAAAAGACACTCCTCTCCGACCATGCTCTGCACGCCCTGGCCCAGTGCCCCAATTTGGAGCTCATGGGCATTGTGCACTCGCCGCACTGCACTGACGAGGGCATGGCCGCTGTGGCGGCTGGGTGCCCGCAGCTGCGGTGGGTGCACATCGACGGGTGGGCGACGGGGCACATTGGGGATACTGCGCTTACGGCCATCGCCAAGCATTGCAGTCAGCTGCAGGTGAGATGGCTGGGGTGGGTGCATGCATGCTAGTGGCTACGGTAACAAAAACAACAGTGTAGTGGCTGGCTGCTGCTGTGGCAGCAGGGCTGGGTACCCTTAGCTACGGTGGGTGCACATCGACGGATGGGCAACGGGGCACATTGGGGACGTTGCGCTTACGGCCATCGCCAAGCACTGCAGCCAGCTGCAGGTGAGGAGAGGAGAGTGACGGTGGGATGGGCTATAGGTGTGAGCCAACGGCTTCTGGGTGTCCCCAGCTGCGGTGGGTGCACATCGATGGGTGGGCGACGGGGCACATTGGGGACGTTGCGCTTACGGCCATCGCCAAACACTGCAGCCAGCTGCAGGTGAGAGGGGGGATGGGGGGGTGAGGCAAGGGAAGGTGGGCATTAGCACAGGTCTGAGTCAACGGCTTTTGGGTGTCCCCAGATGCTGTGGGGGCACAACGACGGGCGGGCTACGGTGCACAGTGGAGAAATTGCTCTCACGGCCATCGCCAAGCACTGCAGTAAGCTGCAGGTGCTGATGCTACCAGTGTGTCGCTGATGGTGCGGTCTGTTGCTCAGGATCCTTGAGGTGTCACGTGGAATATTAAATCGTATTGGATTTTGGTTAGCTTTTGCAATATTTGCAACCCATGCTACAAACTTCTGGCCACTTCAATCCAAAAGTCAAAATTGTTTTCGTACTGGCTCAACCAAAAATCGCGTTATAGTCATGTCTCAATAATCACTCAATTTAAAAACTACAATAAAAAATAGACAAAAAAATGAAATCTTGTAACTTGAGCGATTTTAGTCGGAACAAGACGATTTTGGTATCGTTAGAAAGTTTTGGATATTTTCTGCGTGATCAAGCATTTAAACGTGGAGTAAAAGCATAGAAGTGATAAACCAATGACATATGTTCATGCAAATGATGCAAGAACAAATGACACGAGCACTCGGAAGGACGTCAGGATGACATGTACTCAAACTGACGTGCATTCAACACGGTCGTCACCCGTGCTGTTGCCCATTCCGCTCTTTACCTTGCAATTGTCCCCTTTTCCACTTTCCCGCCAACAGGACTTGGTAATAGTAGGGGGCTCTTGCACGCTCCCCTCCCTGCAGCAGCTCGCCGCCGGCTGTCCCAATCTCGACCGCCTAACTCTCTGCTACATGCGCTCCATCGGCGACCAGGAAGCTTCCTGCATCGCCACCTCCTGCCTGAAGCTCCGTCGCCTCTGCCTCCTCGCCTGCCCGAACATCACCGACGCCGCCGTTGTTTTCCTCGCCACAGGCTGCCCGAACCTCGCCACGCTGAAGCTTCGGCGCTGCCCGCTGGTGACCCGGGCAGCGGTGGAAATGTTTCGGGAGGCAAGACCGGAGGTGGAGGTTAGTGATGAGGAGACGGCGGGGAGTGGGCAGGGAGAGCAAGCAGAGGGGGGAGAGCCTGGGGGGGCTGCTGCTTCTGCTGCTGCTACTGGGGCTGCTGCTTCTGCTGTTGTTCCTGCTGCTGATGCTGTTGCTGCAGCTGTTGTTGCTGGTTCTGCCGCTCCTGCTGCTTCCCCTCCCACGGCGTCCCCTCCAGCTGCTTCCCCTCCCCATGCTTCCCCTGCTCCTGCCGGCCTTGCTGCTGCTGCTTCGCCTCCTGCTGCTTCTCCTCCTCCTGCTTCCCCTCCTGCTGCTTCCCCCACGTCCCCGTGCTTCCTCCGCTGTTGCTGCTGCCTCCCAACCTCCTGCTGCTGCAGCTAGCACTGCTCTTTCTCCATCTCATCAGCCTTCTGCCGTAACCTCTGTAACTGGTGCAGCTGTTGCTGCTGTTGCGGCTGCTTCTACTGCTGCTGGGCATGGGCATGTGAATGGGCATGGGCATGGGCAAGGGCATGTGAATGGGCACGTGCATGGGAATGGGTATGGGCATGGGAGTGGGCACCAAGCATTAGATCCTTCCATGCAGCATTCTGCGGTCCCTGCTTCCTCTAACCCTCAACCCCCTCGCCCCCACTCCACTAACTCTCACCCCACTAGCTCTCACCCCTCTCACTCTCACCCCAACAACTCACACCCCGCTCACTCTCACCCCACTCACTCTCACCCCAATAACTCTCACCCCACTCACTCTCAGCCCACCCACTCTAACCCCGATGAGAACTTTCCCCGCTCATTATCCGTTCCACCTCACCCCACGCGCTCTCAATCCCCTCATCCCACTCGACCTGACGTTGCCTCTGTATCACCTGCCGCCTCTTTACCACCATCCTCCTCTCTCCCACCTGTCGCCTCATTTCCACCATCCACCTCTCTCCCACCTTCCACCTCTCTCCCACCTTCCGCCTCTGTGCCAGCAGCCCCCTCTTTCCTGCGTGCCACATCTGTGCAACCAGCCTCCTCGTTTCCGCCTTCCGCCTCGCTCCCACCTGCCTCCTCATTTCCACGTGCGTCCTCTGTGCCCCCAGCCGCCTCTGTGCCACCGGCCGTCTCTTTCCCGCGCGCCTCATCTGTACAACCAGCCGCCTCGCTCCCACCTGCCTCCTCTTTTCCACGTGCGTCCTCTGTGACACACAGCTCTTTTTCCGCTGAACCAGGAGCAGCAAGAGAAGCAGCAATGGGGAGTGGGGGGACGAAGGGCAAAGGAAAGCTGACGTCCCTCTTTCAAGACGCTGTGAGGCGGCTGAAAACAGCAGCAGCAAGGGCAGCAGCAGCAGCAGCAGCAGCAGCAGCGGGAGCAGCAGCAGCAGCAGCGGGAGCAGGAAGGATGGGGGAAACCTGGTGGATCGAATGAATGCTCAGGCCCACCCGCATGGGGGGTTGGTGGCCACTCACACTCAGACGGAGCCCCCTCCCCTGCCCGCCTTCATGCAACACCTTGCTCCCGGTCATTCTCGCAAGCGATAGTGAAGCGATAGGAGATGGGTGGGATTGGGATTGGCAGTGGAAGTGGGAGCAGCAGCAGCAGCAGCAGCAGCAGCAGCAGCGGTGGGAGTGAGAGCAGGAAGGATGGGCTGAACCTAGTGGATAGGATGAATGCTCAGGCCGACCCGCAGGGGGGTTTGGTGGCCACTCACACTCAGACGGAGCCCCCTCCCCTGCCCGCCTTCATGCAACACCTTGCTCCCGGTCACTCTCGCAAGCGGTAGGAACGGCAGATGTAGTGGCTGTGGGTGTGGCAGCAGCAGGGGGTGGGATGGGTAGGGGGCCTCTCACATGCAGACTGATACACTCAGGCAGGGGCCCCTCACTCCCCTGCCTGCTCCCAGTGCTTCTCGCAAGCTGTAGTTGGAGTGGCGGTGGGGGTGGTGGGTTGGCACGGGGACCTGGTTGGGTAGCCACTCACACACGGAGGGAGCTGCCTCCCCTGCTTGCCCCAAGCTCCTATCGTTAGGAGTGGAGTGTAGTGTAGTCTGTGCACTCCACGACTTTGTCCAGTGCAAAACATTGCATTCGCCAGTATCTAGTACTAGTAGTGCGCCATTGCAAATTACCGCATCCTCAATTATAACTCCTAAATTATACTCCAAGTGCGAGAGTGCTGCAGCCATTGTAGAACCAGGTGGAACAATGCAACAATGAGGGTCCCACTGAAATTCTAACTCTGGCTCTATAAAGACCGCCAGACAAATTTCGCCTGATAATGACGACGACCCTCCATCCAGACTCTAACCTTTGACAAATCTATCTTCATACCGTCATCGCCCGGATATAAGACATATATGTCTTATCTCGTACACGGGCAAAAATGCTTACGTTATCTTGTAAACGGGATGCTTCAGGGTGTCTTATAAATCTTATAAATGGAAACTTTTTAAACTACTTAGAAATATTTTCCGTACTTCTTGAAAAAGAGTTCCTCATAATGAGTGTGGATGTTGCGAAGGTGCCACTTCGGCAACCACTGCCTGGGACGCCACGTCATGGAGAACACCTGCAGAGGCAAATTTGGTAGGTCCTGGGTCAGCGCGTGGAGAAATTCGCGCTTCGCAAGGGTTAAAATGTACGCGTTATTTCAACTTTCGCTATAATATATTGAAGTTTCGATTATAAGACATATATGTCTTATCTCGTACACACAAATAGGTGTCTTATAATGAGGCTAGCCTGTTTATAAGAGACACCCGTATAGTAGACAACCCCTGTCTACTATTCAACACTGTCTTATATCCGGGCGTTTACGGTACAAATAGCTATTAAAGCCCTCACAGTTTGCGCATGTCTTCCAAAGCAGCTATCCGGTAACCATCCTAATCAAACTCCCTCCACTACTCACCTCTGTAAGGAAAAACCCTTTTTCCTTACTGGGGTTTACTCAACCGCGTACAACCCCAACTTTCGGAAGTGCACGTTCGGCCGCTTTGCTTGCTGCCGAAGCAACCTCGCGTCGCCTTCGGCTTTCCTTTGCCCAACCTGCACTCAACCTCGTGTTCCCGAGGTTCCCGCCTAGTTAGGTTGCCTCGCTATATAATCGCATGTCTTTCATTGTATCGTCAGTTCATTGAGTCACAGCCTCGTTATTCGTTATTCCGCGCAACTCTGTTTGACAACTCATAACACCTGGTATCAGAGCTACTTTCCTAGTTCACCCCGCTTTTCCAGGGTAGTTTAGAGGCACGGGTGTGACTGGTACGGTGGGCTGCAAAGCGGTTGGTTGCAAAGTTTATTAAATTAAACTTGCCCGACCCCGATAGCTTTTGCGCTTGCACTGTTGCCGGATAGTCACGGATACCCACTTGCCTACTAGACGTAGCTTGCGACTCATGGATCAGGCGGCATTTGACGCGTTGATGCAGCAAGTGGCGGAGATGTCGGCAGGCATGAAGGCGTTAACGACAGAGGTGGAGAGACTACGTGAAGAAAACAACGAGCTACGCCAGGCGCGAGGTGAAGCGCGCCAGGAGTCGCCCGCTGAAGAAGGCGAGAGCACTGGTCAAGCGGTGAGCGGCAATCCGTTGGACGAGCTCACACGCGGCTTCGAAGAAGAAGATAGGCAGCGAGCGGCGGCAGCGACAACAGTTGCAGTGACAACAATCAAGATAAAGCCTACGAGCCCGCCCCCGTTCAACCCTACCGACAAGAACACTACTGTTAAGGGGTGGTTGTTCGGCGTGGAGGTGTTCTTCACTGCAGCGAATGTCAACGACGACGCCACGCGTATTAATTACGCGGTATCGCTTCTGCGAGGCCCGGCGCTTGAGTGGTGGCGACGAACCTTGGACACGGGGACCCCGACAGGTGTGACACATGCGGCAGACGGGACTTCGGACTCTGCTATTGGGAGGGCATCATCAATATTCGGTGTGGCCACAATTCGCACGTGGAAACAGTGGGGCGCAGCCTTACGAGAGCGTTTCGAGCATGTATCCGCCTCGGAACACGCTCGCATGAAGCTGCGTACCTAGTCGCAATTGGCTTCTGTTCAAGACTACACGGCGTCGTTTATGGCGCTCGCGGATCAAGTGGACGACATGGCGGAAGCTGAACGGTTGGATAAATAAATCAGCATCGGCTTGAAGTATGAGATACAGTACGAGGTGCGCCGCAGCCGTCCAGCAACATTCAACGAAGCCG